AGCAGTGATGGCGTTTCCATCCGTGCGCGTGGTCTGACCAGTGGGGTGAGGTGAATACTATGTTAGAACAATAATGGAGAAGTAAATGGAACAGGCCAGATTTGATAAAGTACGAATCTGTGTTCCTACAGGGACGAGAGGCAGAAGTAATCTCCGGGCCGGGGGTAGATATTGTCAGTAGTGATGAGTACGAGCTGGCCCAAGACAAGCCTGGCCGAGAGCCCGGGCTGGCTCGGATGATGGAGGTAAAGGCTCGAATTATCTGAGCCTATAATTCGAGCCTTGGAGGTGGGTTCGAGTCGAGGCTGGGAGCTAGCCCGCTCGGCTCATGCCCATAACCAGTTGTCAGATGCGATGGACAACATAGTAAGGCTGAGTGGTTTCGATTCGACTACCGGTGGGAGAAAGAGAGGCCGAGGTTGGCATGTATAGGTTGTATAGAATCACTGGCGGCTAGCCGGCGGAGAGAGTAGTGATTGGTTGATATTCGGTATCGACGTCACAATATTGCCTGGATTATATGTTCTGATCGATGCATTCGTTGTCTCCCACAACGTACAAGCCCATACGAAGTTTATGGTTTTCCCGAGATGATAGACAGAAGTGGGTGTATCTACTCATCATGCATCCGATTTTTCTTTCAATAAATGTTTCGTCTCTCTCGGTGTTGGTTGGCTATTCCATATTGTACACGTACATAAGTATATATAGGTTACGTCGGGTAGACTGGACTAGTGCACGTAGGCGCTAGCAAAGGCTTAAGTGGACTGGTATAAAGATAGAACGTTGTGGCGCAGGTGAGGCGTTAGTGGAACTTTGTGGTGACCACGGGTCAAGGACAGGTCACGAAAAGGCAACCGTGTCACTAGCTAGTCATTGTATCCTACAGTCTCGTCTCTTATGTCTGTTTATACTATCATCACATCATCATAGTCAATTCGAGCTTTAATTTCTGTTATCGGAGCCTGAGCCTGGGTTGTCTGAGAATCACGTAGGATCCTCACAAAATCTATTGAACTCCTGTTTCGCCCTAAAGCGTGCCTTGGTCTTAATTTTTCATACAATATAATATCAACTCTCTTTCTTCTCATCAATGAATTATTAATTAATCTTCTCATCCAACAGCTCTATTCGAATTCCTTAGCTTGCTAATGCTAGCTGAACATTTTCGTGGGGGGTAAAAGCCAAAGCAAATCCCGGAGCGAGACTGGCAGGAGATATATAGTCTCGGATGGAAACACTGATAAAGATTAGTTAGCACCGGCCACTGTTTCGGCCGCAATAAAAAATGGTCAGCGTCTGCTCGTAGCTAATCATACGCATAATACAAAGGATGGAGACAACCGCCGTCCGCAGTCTACCCTGTCTCTACCCTATAGGTCTTCTAAGCCCCGGACGGAGGGCAAGCCGTGTAGGATAAAATGCCTTACAGTGCTCATTTGCCAATAAAAGGACTAGAGAAAACAGTTGCTCAGGGCAAGGTTGGTTTGCATATAGTGGCGGGGATCTCTCACAAAACGTAACCATGCCCATCACTTACATTTCTGGTTCTTTTCCTGGTAAACGAGTACTAGTATGATTCTTTGGGTGGGAATCAATTTTGCGACGAGGAGCACCTTGGTTGTCCTTTACTTGAACTAGCCTTATAATAGGCCATGGATCTCAGCCAGCGAAAATTCAAGTTGGGACACCTACAAACGATTTATGCACTAATTTCTTTCTGTGCTGGCAAAAGAGCAGCTAGCCAGTGATAACCAATCGTTATCGATTATAGGGTCTGGACTGCTCGTTCGATCCACACGTGGACAGCTGCCCGGATTCATGTGGTTTTAGCACGAGCTGTATAAAGGACGACGAGAAAGCCCCCCTCTCGTCGTTATTAGCAATCCATGATAGAAATGTTTATTTACTTCTATTAGCTTCGCTTGTGTTGGCCTAGCTATAACTATCAGTTAGCTAGAGAGGTTTCCAGCTCAAGTGTGTAATTCCACGGGTATTTGGAGACATCTAAGGTCAAATACTCTGGTATGCAGGGAAGTACCGGCCTCTTCTGTTGTCAACAAAAGGCGTAGTCGGCGTGGAAAAACTACTTATATAATATACTGAAGTCTCAAAATAAATAAGAAACTCTAGATTGGGGGGGGGGGGGGGAGTTACGCATGGCGGGTCTTGGCAGTTACTTGATTGACTGGTCTTTCACTGGGCTTTCACTGGGCAATATTACGACTGAAAGGGATGTACTACGGTTTAATAACTGGATGACATACTGGGCGACTACGGCAAGCAAATCAAATGCAGTCGATCGGTCGGTTGCATACATATCTCGGACAGCGCCAACCGCTTATATTTACACCCGATGGCCAGGCGAGGCCGAGTTCTAGTAGTAGGTGATTCCCGGGTTAGAATATAATGGGCATCGGATATATATTGCCGCTTTCTCTATTCTGGGCTGGTTTGTCCACTAGTTGAATTCTGGTTGGCTGAAAATCGGTAGTACTCGAAATAAAGGTATATGTACAGTGCCGGTGTTCAGCTGGTTTTGGGAGTCTCCACTACATGTAGTAAAGCAACAAAGGCCCGACGAAGGAACACAAGATCAAAAAGAACTCAATTTCAACCATATATCAAATTGATTTAAGATGAAAGATATAATTAGATACGTTTCTACAGTGGGTAGAACCCCCAATATTAACCTTCTTCATCAAGATTGAATGCTTATTTGCTACCTCTCTCTGAATTGGGCTCAGGTTAGCTTTTCTAACAACGAACCCAGGAAATTAAAGCCAGCATATACGCCTGTATGCAGGGTCATTTGCACCTAGCTAAGTCTTGATGCGCTCTGAAATAACCGGTAAATATAGGTGTACTACCAAGGGGTTCCTTGGAGGAATGGGATTTGGAAATTATGATTATGGGAACGTTATAAATTATTATTTAATCTGAGTATAGTTCTAGAAAGCTAGTAAACAGCAGGGCAGTGAAGGACCGAGATTCTGGTGTGGCATGGCTGTGGCAACGTAGAAGATATCCGCAAATTATGCTTATTCTAAATGTGTAATTTATGCGACATAGAGGGTTCTAGCTACATACGCACACAGCCTAACAGGTAGAAACTCGAGAGCACTTGCATGGACAGAAACTCCTATGATTCTTATTGGTTGTAGCGCGCATGAGTTTCCGTCCAAAACGCGTAACTAAATCCCTCTAATAGAGAATCTCTCTCATGCAATACTAGCGCGGTCTATCGACGAAGCTTTTAATTTAGCACCTCTCAATAAATGAAGAAAACTCGTTATCCAGACGTTCTCTCTTAAATGTGAATCGTGTGATAGTTCGTTCGCGTCGATCCATGAGAGAAATTCTCCAGGTGTACTCTCATAGTTATATCCAGGGGATCATTATATAAGGATTTTGTTTGTGCATGGGATGATCATGATTCGACGCTCCAAATCAGGATTACGACCGGTGGTTATCAAACGACGTAATGATTTATTTGACGCCCTTCCTGTTGAAATTATATAATTATCGCCACTCAAGTTTATAAACCAATCCATTATGCCATGGCCATGAATAGGAATTATACATACTTGCACTGCATGCGCATGCACTTCCATTCCCTTATTCGCAGCCGATCGCGAGTTTCCTGGTCAGGAATTTAGAACTACATGTACGTATCAATCGAAAGAAGTTTGCTTGCCTGCGCTCAACGCATGCTCAACACATCGGGACATCAACTAACACTGCCTTTACACGTATCAATTTAGCGGGAGATCCAATTTCTTCTCAATCGATACAGGTACCTAGCTTGAAGTATACGTATGATGCTTGTGCTTATTCGTTCCTTACAGCCACAACAATTTTGGATACTTACCTCTCTCTAAATGCTCCACTTTTGATGGCTATGTAGCCCAATTGAATCCTCTTGCAAGGAAGACTGATGGGAAAGTAAACGCTGATGCCTATGTAGATTCATCCTGCTATCCGCTAAGAAGTGTACTAATAAGTCTTTTGATTGTAGGTTAAAATCTAAAGTTCGAGGATATTACTGGTTCTTTGAATGAAGAGAATCTTACTCTGGAGCTGGTGCACTGCCGGAGATTGTATCGGGTGTGTCGGAATGAGGGTTGACCTCTAACGAATTTGTTTGTTCAGCGGATTTTTTGGTTGGTTAAGCTCTAACAAAGACCAATTGGAGATATATCTGTGTCCGAGTGGGTCCATTGCCCAGTTTTGTGCTCTGACAGTGGTATTTGTTTTTGCTGTTATATACTATGAGTTATGATCGACCAATTGCAGTACATATCACGGCGTAATTACACTTAATAAAGTCCATTTTATAGCCTTTCGGCCAGTACTATCGCGGGAGACGGGTTGGTGTACGTAGAAATGCGAAGCGTGTAGCCTACATGGCGGTTAGCCTTGATTCCTTGCATATGATATGAGAAGCTCTGCGCCACGGTGGGGAAATAAGCACACTGCCCACAAAAAGGATCTCGGGAAATATCGGTTTTCATATGCTATTGAGGTGCACACGTATACCTCAATTGAAAAAGTCACAAAATAAACACATTAACCAGCCTCCTCCAGACCACTTCCCACAGGCATTCCATCCTTCACCGTGCTTTGAGACCTTCTGCTACTTTCATAGTCCCTAGCTCACACCGCCACGCCCTACATAGCCCTCACAGAAATTTCTTCAAGCTATTTCTCAAAACTAAGCTAGGGCAATATCATTTGGACTTGAGGAATATATATATAATAGGTAGTTACCTCACTGCCACGTGGGCACAGCCAAATCTGGAGGTTCGATAATTTAGATCTGCAGCACCTGAAGTAGGCCACTGCTATTATTCACCTCTTCGTCTTATAACACCTTATCGACATATATCACAATACTTCCTTTCATTCCCGCAATTCGAGCGGTTGCCGCACCGATTTAACCGCATTCCAGTTCCCACCCGTCAACTCCGCGAAAGGAAATATCTCATTCCTTTATTTCGATGGCTTTTTTGTTCCTGCTCTCAGTCGCAGCCTACGTCTCAGCCGCGCCTGTTGCGCCTGTTACGCCTTGTGCACCTGTTGCCCCTGTTCTGCCTGAAGGTGCGAGAGTGGGTTGGGTGCCGAACCCTGTTGGTCGCGGAACCTCGAAAATTATTATCAGCTGTTCCGTCACTCTTGCGCTCTGCATATGGACTGCAATCCACCCCGATGTAGTAAAGAAGAAATCTCACACCCAGAATCCTAAGGACAAAAAAGTAGGCTCCGATGCCGCTTCACGAAGCCAAACAAGTACCCCCGATACTATAACTGCGGGCAGCAAAGAAGGTCAACCACAATACTGCGACACGGCATGCACCGCGTCCAAGCGCTTGCGAAAACGAATTTTTCTGACTTTTAAGGCCTTGCTCATACCGGATGAAGTGCTTATAGATGCTCAGAAACAGTGGGCTCAGGCTTCCCGACTGCATAAGGCGATGATAGCTGGGCACTACATATTAGAGCATATGGACGAGGCAGGGGGCCGGGGGTTCATTGATAAGAAGGCGCCGCCACCGGCACCACGCGATGAGGGCGAATCAAAGGATTCGAAAACTACGTCCTGGAGGGGTGAGTTGCAGAAGTGGCTTGAGAAACATGAAAGTATCCGTGACCTTCTCGATTTATGGGTGTTTCCCTCACAGTGGGATCTGTTCGGAAAAGAGGTTGCTTTCTTTGTGGTTCAGGGTGGGTTTGTGAGGAATTCAGATCGCACACTGATATCTCCATTGGACCTTTACTACGCCTACATGATGGACCCTCAGAAACTCCATGAGCAGATAAGGGCCGAGGATATCTGCGACAAAGGCAATGCCAGTGTCCTCGCCAAAGTCAATGTCTGTGGCCAATACGGGTGGTTTCTCATCACCCTCCTATCTAGACTCTATTCGAATCTCTCTATCACATTTCTCGAGCTGCATGTGATGATTCACATTATCGCCGCCTTAGTGGTTCTACTTATGATTGTGGGATGAATGAAGACGGCTTGTTTCAGCAAATATTATCAAGCTGGCGTCCGTATCTCACGACTGATACTATAGTCGAAACCACCCCTAAACCCTCCGCGGCCGGAACCGCAGAAACCACCGGGAAAGACAAAGGATCTGAAGCTGCTGTTAGAGAAATTGATTTTAACAAACCGCCGCCGAACTTTGACCTTGAGGCTTCGAAGAAATCTGAATCGCCTTGCGCTAAGAAGGAATATGATGCAGAAGCCAGAATTTCGAGACTCATGTCTTGCGTACCCTATCTCTCCTACTCAGGCCTACACGCAACCCAATGGAACTCTTCTTTTCCCTGCACACACGAGCAATGGATATGGAGAATCTCATGTTTGATCGTTGCAACAACGCCCTTTCTACTCTTCCTGACTGTAATGATTCTTCGCTGGCTGCAGCCAAAAACTTCAACAGTAAGGAACGAAAAGGGTGACAAGGCACACAGCCTTTGGCTGATTAGCATCATTTTTATCCTATATCTGGGGGGCGCCTGGACACTACTGGTTGAAAGTTTTGTCAGTATGAGGAATCAACCGAAGGAGGTATACCAGACAGCAGATTGGTCTCTGTACTTTCCTCATTTTTGAGAGATATACATACGTAGCCCCACGCGCAATGTTATTTAGGGCGGCGGGGTTAGATGTATGGTGGAAGAGGGGCGGTTCTTTTCTCTTCGTCCTATATACTGTTAATTATATTTATCTCTATAGCATCTTATGAGATCCAGTTTAAATGTACTATACTTACTAAGAATTTGATAGAAGGCAAAAGACAATAGTACAGTGATTACATGTACTACGTTTAGTGGTATGAGACTAGACTAGAAGTTTTAAATTAAATATAAAAATCTAACGATAGTATCATCTCTCTAGCCAGGTGAGGGAAACCTTCATTCTCTCCAAACGGTAGTCGGCGGTTGGAGCCTTTTATCGGAATCATACATCATCACCTGCGTCTTCCTTCTACCAGATGCTTATGTTATTGTTCAGCTTCCAAGGCAGTTGTCAGTGATTTCTTTCAGGAACCAATGAATGTTTTCAATCGGTTTTATCGCCTGGAGGTCTGTTTCTGGGAAACAAATTCAAAGTCTTGGCACATTAATCATGTAGTGGAAATATAACTGTAGTCTTCTAGACGCGTCATAATGTATCACTCGCCTCGTGCTATCGGTCAACAAGAGTTGATTTTTGGCAGCCTGGTCGACGAGAGGAGCTTTATCCTCTGCGCATGCTCGACTTAAAGAAGCTTGAACCTTTTGAGACTTATTTCTCTGCACACTTCCCATCTTGAAACAATACATTATGTGCCGACAACATCTTTCTGTTAGTCTGTTTATTTATAAAATCTTCAGAACATCAAAACCTAACTGCATGAGTACATAATATAATGGGCCCAACTTGAGACTTTATCTGAAGACTTAACTACGTGAAGATAGCGAGGAGACAAGACTGGAAAGACTAAAGCAACTAGAATAATCAACTAAGCACTCAAAATAAAGGGCGAAAGTAGTCTCAAATAACCCTAACCCCGGCCCAGCGACCTTTTATCGTTAGCTCATTTAATGCGCATATTACCACAGCTCCGCGAGACTACAAGACTACAAGAAAGACTGGATACCTGTGCAACACCTGGGCATAAAAACCACAATCCGAACGAGACTACCACAAAGTCAGTCTTGTCTCTTCTCGTGTCCATCATTTATAACCCTAACCCTGATAACATACGTTAAAACAATGAATGGCTTGGAGATCTACCCAACCCTCGACTAAGGCATGTATAAGATGGGTGTTCCGAAGATGTATGGCTGTGTTAGTCGTTTCGTTAGTACTGGATGTTTGTATGCGTTATGTTTGACAAGTTTTGGGGGCCGGAGGGGGTGTATCGAGGGGGTATATGTAGAGTTAGAACGCATTTTTATGTGAACAGCACAGGAATTAGTGATTTTGTGTCTGGCATTGTTGCTATCTTGCTAGATATGCTGTTAAGCACGAGATAGTAAGTTAGTTCGTTCTAGAAGAGGAGGAAGAGACGTCGAGTGAGATTATGTGACCCGAGTGATAGACTATGATTGGCTTCTGGATGATGTGAGTAGACAGTCCTGCTGATGGGGGGGGGTACGTATATATGGCGGAGTAGGAAAGACAGAAGACTCACTCTCCATGCGCATCCTGTGGCAAACAAATCGAAAGGCAAGAAACTGCATGAAGCTTAGGAACAGACATATTACTATTCAACGTTTAAAAGGATTCAAACTACTTTAACTGGCTCCAAGGTACATGCCGTCAGTCCGTTGCATATATATCCCCGACTGCGCGAACCGCTTATCTGCACCCGACGGCCAGGCAAGAACAAGGTTTAGCGGTGGTGGTTCCGGAGGTAGAATAACTCGGCATCGGATATGGCTCATTTTTCTGGTGTGTTGATTTGAGTTTTGATTGGCTGAAATTAGTAACTCCGTGAAACAAGGTACCCGCCCCCGTATCCAGTTAATCTGGGCAGACCCCACTAAAGCAACGCAAGGAGTATAATCAAACGTTGAATAGAAATTAAAATATAGACTGAGCAAATAGTGAATCAAAAAAAAATGAGAAAATCAAGATTTTATGTGTCCTAGCTCCATTGGCCGTATAACACTGGTCACCCTTATTACCATGCTACTAACCCAGCTTTCAGTTATTATTCCATGGCTCAACAACAACCCTACATAAACTATTAATACTACGAGGCCTTGTCCCTCTGATGCCGTTTCTTTGGTCCAACGGTTTATTGATTCGCAATACGGTTGAGATTGGCCGAGCAGAGCTAGAGGGAGTCTAAAGCTGAGTGCATCTAACACTGGTTTTTATACACCTTTGCTAAGCAATAGTAACCAACGGGTCTAACCAAAAGGGTTTGGGTATTCACCGACGGTTTCAATTCGCCCCGACGGTTTCAGGGATATATCACCCATACAAGAACAAAACACGTTCCACTGATGTCATGCTGCAGAAAGTAAGGGACCGGCTCTTTCGAGGAATGAAATTGGGGATTATGGTTCTGGAATCGAAACAGCGGGTGGTGAAGTACCGAGATTCAGGTGTGATGCATGTAGTGTGCCGTGGCTGTTGCGGCACAGGAGAGATCCCCGAGTTCGTTTTCTCAATGTGCACTTTTTCTCGTGATTCGGTGCTCGATCAAGGGTGTTTAGAATTTTGAGTCAACGCAAGTTTACACCCCGACCCGCCTTCAAGAATAAGAATGGTTCCGCTTGCACATACGATGACCTGCATACAGTTATAGTATTTTCTCTCTATCCGAGCTTCCTGAGCCTACTTTGGTGCAACCATGGTCATGGATTTTGCTACATACATATATACCAGTGGAAAGTAGTCTCTGCGCAGGAGGCAATTGAATATGCTCAAGTGATTGTGATCACAATTAAAACTGTTTTTAACAAGGGGATCGAGTTTTTCCTCAATCGATACAGGTATGTACCTAGAAGTACGATGGGCATGTGTTTACTCGTTCCTTCAAGATTTGACGAGTAGAGCGGTGATATGATCATGCATGTAATATGGCGACTCTTTACGTAATCATGCTATATATCCCTTACGCTGTTAAAGCTGTCACCTTTGCCAAGCTTAAGTATCATGTCTCGGTTCTGTGGCTTGCGTGCGAAATAGCTTAAGGGATAGTTTTGTGATATCCGTTCCCCGATCCTTAATATATAATGATGGTCTTCTGTAATGCTCACTTTGTAAACATTGGATAAACCCCCCACCCACCGCACATAGTAATTTCGGATGCCTACCTCTCTGTATATGCCTACAATTTAAATTGATTTTCTATTTTTCAGCTCAATTTGACAACATGTGCTAAGTTGAATTCTCATATGCAGAAATCGACCTTTAGCTTCAAGGAAGTGGTGTTTAGGGTCTTTACTTGAAGATTTTCCTTTATTATTTATTGCACGTCAAGCTGACACAACTAGGCACCCGCCATAGTGAACCGAACTCTGGGTAGCTTAATTTAGAACCCTCGTAAGAAGATTGGTAGGCAAGTAAGTACCGACGCCTAGCTTCATCCTGCCACCCGCTATGAAAGTGCGGATCGGTCTCGGAGTGAGAGTACCGCCGCCATAACTCGAGATATTGGCTAGATCAAAATTTCTTCTATGGGAAACTTATCATATAGATCGATACCATTCAACCAATCACTCGAGTGGTAATCCCTGGACGGAGATAGCCAATTTTTCGAGTTTTGGCGGTATATTACTGTTTCTTTGGGTGGAGAGGTTCTTGCTGCCAGTCCGATTGGTTAAGCTGCTCCGAGTGGATGTATTGTCGTTTAAAATTCATATTTGCTTTTATTATTTATATGACTTATGATCGACCAATTACAGCGCATATGCATATCATCCCAGAGCAACTCCAAGTTCTGTATCTATGGGACTGGTTTAGTGCCTGTCACAAAAGGCGGGTGGTATCTCGCAGAAATGCGAAGCCCGCAGTCTCTTATAACATTTGTTCATGAGTGTTGGTCTTTTCCAGTCAAACAATTGGCATGCGGAGGTGCCTCCATGCCAAGGGACACCAGTCATGGAAGTTCTTTTCAGTTTTTTCTTCAATATCCGGTTTTGGGCTAGGGATCCCTATATGATCGATACCTCGCTACCGTGTGAGGAAGAATTAATCTAATATCCAATTTCCCAGCTCTTTGCAATAAGTCACTAGTAGTTTGTTAACTATTCAGCACTTGACCATCTCTATCATTCTCCTCTCCAACTTCTTTGAATCCATCAACACGGCAGCGATTCTCTGCTAGCATTTCCAGTTAATCACTAAAATTTGAATGATTATCCCACTGGACCGCGTGATCAGGGTTCCTGCCCGTACACCTTGGGTATCAAACCCTGTTGGCCGCGGAACTCCAAAATCCTCGTCACCTGTTGCGTCACTCTTTTCCTCTGTATATTCACCGCAATCCACCCCGATGTAATCATGAAGAAACACCATGCCGATGACTCTGCCGCTGGCGAGGCAGACTCCGATGCTGAAGAAAATACATCAGACACCAACCAGGGCAAAAGAAAGTACAAACCGCATTTGCGGAATCGGAGAACACTCTGTTTTGAAGCCTTGTTCCTACCGGAAGTGCTTTTTACGCATGCTCGGCGGCAGTGGCGTGAAGCTTCCCGATTGCATAAAACTCTAATAGCCGGACACTACTCAATACACCACATGAGTGATACCGACGGCAAGTTCGAGGGTGCGCAGGCAACATGCATTAGGGGCAGAACGGAGGACACCTCCTGGAGGCTGAGGTTGAAGGGGCGGCTTGCCAGATGGAAACTCTCTAGGATCGGAAGATTTTGGATGTGTGCTTGTTTCCCTCACAGTGGGATCTATTCGGAAAAGAGGTTGCTTTCTTCGTGGTTCAGGGCGGGTTTGTGAGGAAGGGTGAAGACGGAACGTACACTCCGATATCCTGCTCGGACTTCTACTACGCCTTTGTGAACGATCCCAAAGGCTTCCGCGAGAAGATATATATCCCTCAAGGATATCCACGACAAGGGCAATGCCAATGTCATCGGTAAACTTGTGGTCTGCGCCCAGTGCGGCTGGTTCCTCATGAACGTCCTAGCTAGAGTCGCCGCTAAGCTCCCTATCACATTTCTCGAGCTGCATGTAACGTCTCACATTGCCATTACGGTGGCGCTATATATCTTTTGGTGGAATAAGCAACTTGACGCAAACCAACCGATTGTACTAGACATCCATCGCTTCAATTATACTAAGGACTGGGCGACGGTCCCAATGGACGCAGTGAGGCCGAGCGGAAAATGGCACAGGTTCCTCGCCACTATATGGGCAATGTCACCCGAGTATGACCATACGTCGGCTGAGTCAGAGAAGATCTAGAAAGTTGCCGCTAGTGAGATTCTTAATATAAGGAAATGGGTGGAAGCAGGAGCTCCTCTTGACACTTCCGGGGATGCTCCCAGCACTCACCATACGACGCACGAAAATCCCTTATTTCAGCGAATTCTATCAGATTGGCGTCCGTACTTTGAAGAGGCCAAAGGTCCAGTCATCAACCCAACCGAAATCACAGAAAAGGGAAAGAATGGAGAGACAACTGAGACCGTCAAAGAAATCACCCGAAAGGATGAAGAATTGGTTGCCGCTAATGACGGTAAAGCTTCGTCAAATCGTTTTCCGTACGGTCGAGTTAAAAAGCACGGTGTTAGAGAAATTCCGGGACTCATGTCTACCGTATTCTTTTTCACTTACTCGGCTCTACACGCAACCGTATGGAACGCTTCTTTTCCCACCGTCCAAGAGAAATGGATATGGAGGGTCTCATGTTTACTCATCACAGCAAAGCCCTTTCTCCTCTACCTCATTGCTGGGATTGTTATCCAAGTGAGGCTATGGGGGGGTCTTCATGCGGGGCTGGGGAGCCTGGATGGAATGTATAAAAGCAACAAGCTTCTAAATGTCTTCTTTGTTTTCCTATACCTCGGAGGCACCTGGACACTCCTGTTTGAAAGTTTTTTTAGTCTGAGGAATCTACCCAAGGGGGCATACGAGACAGTACCTTGGTCTGTCTACCTTCCCCACCTTTGAAAGATATATCCAGCCACCCACGGTTATTCAGAGCGACCGGAATAGATGTATCGTTGATTGATTGATAATTCATTAATTGCATGCAACCAATAGATGTATCATCGAAGATAGGGCGTTTCTTTTGTTTTCTTGTTATTCACTGCTTATGATGTTTTATTTTATATCTTGTTATGAGACCTTGTTTGGATCTAAATGTACTTGACGTGTTAAGGGGGGGGGGGGGGGGGGCGGGTACAAAATACAATATGATTGCAAGTATGTTTAGTGGAATAACTGGAAGTGTTGAAGTAAATATTTGGGAGAAGGCGTATTAGTAGGTAGTTGGTGACGTGGGAAACATTGAGAACGGTGGGGGACGTAAGAGAAAAAAAATAGAGACAGCTTTGTGGTTGCGGGGTGATTTTATATATCGCGGGGTATATAAATGCATTGCTCCGTTTGGATGATGGAAATTGCAATTGGGCCAAATTATTTGTATTTGGTCATGTCCAAACGTTAACAGTTTTGATAAGAACGGCTCACTGCATCAAAATCTGTACTAATGTTATATATATTTAGTGTAAGCATGTCCGTCCGATGAATACAACTGCATCACATTAAAAAAAAAAAGTAGAATTGCGCGCATAATGTTTCCCGGGCCTTGAAATGGTGTATCCAAACACTCAAAAAAATTCCAAATTAAAATTTACCCAGGATCATGATATATATGAGGCGCTGCAACCATGATTTGGGTGGCTTCCAGACGGAGCCTTAAATCTGGGGGGTAAATACAAATTACCGATGTCATCTCATACGGATGTAATAACAGTGCTACAGTCGGGGTTGAAGTTAGGTGTCGGTATGGGGGATCGATGAAGGGGGAGGGGGGGATGCCGGTGGGAGACCTCGTCATGAATTATCACTCAGGAAATCGGTCAACGGGCGTTGATTATTCTCCACTTGAAAAGATCGAGCCTTTTGGGTATTATTACTTTGAACATTTTCACTTTGAGACAACACAAGACACGCCGATAATGCACCCATTCCGTCATTTTATAAAGGTTTCTTGGAATATTAAACCCTAACCCTATACGTTTGAAATAACGAGACGATCTAGAATACTTGAAAAACTAATGCCGCTGACCGCTGAAGAGCTAGATTATAACGCTTCTAGAAGTTGAGCCAAGCCGAGCAACTGCTGTCACGGGGAAGTGAGGTGTGTCGAGGGGGTAGATGTAGAAGCAAAAAGTATTTTTGTATACATACTGGTTATAGAGAGCTATGATATGGAGGGTAGGGGTACTGCTGTAGTGATAGATACACTGTTAAGCACGGCTGTGAGATTCATTCTGTCCGTAAGCGTAGGTTGGGCCGTCGAGTGAGACTCTGTGACGCGAGTGATGGATTATGATTAGCTACCGCTGATGGGAGTAGACGATTTGGTTGGTATATGTAGCAGAGTAGGAAGAGAAAGATACTCACCCTCAGGGTTGGTACTTTGAAGAAGTGCCTGACGTTTGTAGACCTTCGGTCGTTGAGTTTGAATACTCTATGCATGGGCCCATGCACAGGCTATCCGCTCCCCCACCTGGTGACGATAACCGTTACGCTCATGGCGGCCTAATAGTTATCCTCCCATCTACCATCGCTGAGAGTTGCGAATATATCATAAATGCTTTCAGGACGAGAGAGAAGCTGTGTATTCTTGTGTCTCGGTCCGGTCGTCGGGAATGGCTTTCTGGGTACTATCACCTGTCGGGCGAGGGTGACGCCCGACTACGAATAAATGCTCTAGCATTATATGTCAGTATAGAATGTGGCGCCGATAAGCACCGGGGAAATTGCAGTGTTATCGAATTTCGTTTCCAAAGTCCGTGTTCCAAGTCAAGAATATAACAACGCGGGGGAGAAGTGGTTTTGGCGTTTTCTATCCGTAGTCTGGCTAGTAAGGTAACGTAGATTGCTATGTTAGAATGGTCAAGGGTAGAGTAATAAAGGCAGTTCTGAATTTGAAGAGTTCGTATCTTGGAAAGTCCGGAGGTAGAGTCATTCTCGGCGGTGGATATCGTCCGATCATATGTGCAACATAACAAGGATGATGGTTTTCGACTATCGACGGGAGGAGGCGGGGTCAAAGTCGGCTTGTATAGGTTGTATAGAATCGCCTGTTGCTAGCCGGCGGAGTGGTGGATAGTGTATATTTGATCTTGATCGAGGTCACAATCTTTTCAGAGCTGATAGATTCAAGCAAATGCATGTACTAATGCATCAGATTACTCTTTCAATAGATGTTTTGTCTCTCTGTGTTGATTTGATGTTTAATATTGGACACGTAACTATAGTTAATTACGTCGTGTAGTTTTGATTTGTGGCAGAGGCTTAGGTGGCGTGGTAATCTTGCCCTAAGTGGCAGGTATAAAGGTAGAATGTCCATTCGTCTTTTCAATACATCAACTCTCTCCCATGTCACTCAACAGCCAAAGGTCTAGCGATTGGAGCTGTTCGGGGTGCCACATATCCCTTGCTGCTGTCAATGCTGACACCTTTTATGGGGGATAAATGCCACAACGAATCCAGAGGAGAGATTGGCCAGAGATATATTCGGATGAAAACAGTGATAAAGATTCGTTAGTACCGGCCACTCTTTCGGCCTCCACGAAAAAAGGGTCAACATTTGCTCGTAAGCTAATCATGATAGATTCGAAGGGATGGAGACCACCGCCGTCCGCAGCCTACCCTGTCTCTGCCCTACAAGATCTCCAAGCCTTGGACAGCGGATTTACCATGCAGTCTGTTTGGTCTTACACATTGGGACAGAATCCCTGCAGATCTGAGCTGGCTCCTTCGCTTACTTTGCGTTTGCATCAGCCTAGAAGCACAAAATGACTCAAAGGACGATGACCAGGGTGGAAATCGATTTTGAGATAAGTAACACTTCAATTGGTAGATTTCACCAAGTCAGAATCCGTGCTGAGACACCTCTGAGCTGATTCTTCTCCGTGCTGGAAAAGTGACGGCTAGCCACGTATGGAGCTGGTCGCGATAGGCCACCATTGGCTTAGAAGAAAATAACGGTTTGGTGAGTAGAATAATCACTTTGAACTCAATTCATATGAACGAAGAAGTCATGATAACCGCAGTTTAAGGGTGATTTTTATTAGACATCCCCATTAGACCCAAAGGGCCCGTTTTTTACAAACCTATCAATGCCTCGAGATCTTGAAAGAGGAATGGCTTGGAATGGCAATTCCGTAGCAATAGTGATTCTCTACCGATTGGTCATTTCATTTCTTTTTTCATCTTAGATGATGGGGGTGTGATAGGTTTGCCTTTGGTGGGGCTGAGTCCGAGTGCAGCTCCGTAGGTTTATTGGGACCGGCACTATAGTGCGATCTAATGGTTTTCGATTATAGGGTATGAATAGCTCGCTAGATATACTGTAGCACAGATTCAGATGGGTTTCGGCACAAGTGGTATATAAGGGACGAAACATCCTGCATCCCCGCCACTACAGCGTGAGGTAAGATTATTGTAGGAGTACAGGAAGAGTCCTATTGGCCAGGTCAGCCACCTAAACCCTGTTTCTACAATATGCCCCCCTCCCGCTGTATCGGTAATTCATGAGAGAAATATATATATCCATTTACGTTGGCTAACGTCGGGTGGCTCTACCTACAGCTATTGATTGGGGATGTTTTGAACACAAGTGCGTACGATACGGTAGGGTTACAGTGTGATTGGTGACATCGAAGGTTTTGCAGCATGTTCGTTCATATTCAGACTTCTTCTTCTGTCTTAAAAGACGTAGCCAGTGCGGAAAAAATCATTTATATCCTCGAGCTGTATAAGAAAAAAAGAAATACTTGAGGAGAGATATATATGATTTGAACATGGAACAGTTAAAAGAAATATATAGCCTCCTACACATGCGGTAATAGTGCATACCGAAAAGTACATACTGAGTGGCTAAGTATGCATCTTGCGGTAAACGAACTAAAAGACAAGAAATCGAATCCTCGATACAGACAGACATATTGCTCACGTCTGAAAGGATTCATAACGCTCCGATTGGCACATGCAGTCATTCCATTCCATATCTCGGGCTGCGCCAACCGCTTATTTACACCTGCTCGCCAGGCGGGGGTGTGGTGGTCCCGCGTGTAAAATAAACTTGGCATCGGATATAACTAGCTGCTTTTTACATTAAACTAATGTCCACTATTTGAATTCTGATTGGTTGAAATCAGTACACAACTCCGTCGAAATAAAGTTAAACCCGTGTCCAGTTGATCTCGGGAGCCCCACTTAAAGCATGGCAAGGTTAGATAAAATCAAGATATAGAATGAGTAGATGTAAGGTTGGTCAAAATGAGAAAGTTGTAGGTTTAGAGCAGGCTACGGTAAGAGGGAGGGGATGGCGAGACTCTCCATACAAAACGAGATCCCTATAGAAGGCTCGCGCTTGGCGTTGAATTGTTAGCCAAGCCTTGGCATGCCCTCCGTATCGCAACCCCTCCACCGCTCAATGCATGTCCTCCATTGACCGTATGTAGGTACGTACACTGTCTCAACCCTTTTATAGCGCTGTCAACCCAGCTTTAAATAGAGTCTTTAGTGATATTATTCCACTGCTCAACAGCAACCCTGCAGAAACTCTTCATACTACGAGGCCGGTCTTGTCTTTCAGGTGTTGTGTCTTTGCAATCCACTGCTGCAGTTTTGTTCTTTTGCTACACAGAGGTAGTTGAAAGATCTAGTGTCCCTCTCATAATAGTTTTGATAGATCATGTACACTATAGGATTTAGGGTTATTAGACACTTTGCGCTAGGAAGTCCGGAGTTATTTTTGACCGGCCTGGCATTAAGTTGCCAAGAAAGAATAGGTCTAGCTGTTGATTTGACTCCCGGCCAGTGAGGGTGATCTTACTATCCTCTAATAGCCCGGTAAATGCATCAATAATCCCTTTTCCCATACAAATAAAATGGTAAAAGGCACAAAAGGGCACGAAAAAGCACATTTACAGTCGATGTCTTGTGTAATGTATCTGTGGATGCTTTTACCTACGACTTTACAGCTTGGAATGCCTTTTACATACGATTTTACTATGACTTTACTACTTCCGAACTCTTTTCTATTTCCGCCGGAAAATATCTGTTTTTCCGATGAAGTCTTTACCAGAATCTCATGATAATGGATCTCTGAAACTAGATATGTCAATAGGATCACCAGATGTCCTCCTATGTGAATGGGCTTGTAACATTTGGGGAATACAATTTAAATTCCGAAAATGTATTGTTCAATTCGAATATTGAGGTATTTCTGACTTTGTAACTCCCGCCGTTATGTGATTTCCTTGGTCATGATATTGGATCGCGTTGTCAATTGTGATTGCAAAGGCACCATCATAGGGAAGGCGGCCGCAACTTATTCCCCCTCCCTAAATGCCACGAAGCTGCTGGTAGGATGTGGTGTAAAGTCGTTGGTAAAGTCGTTGGTAAAGTCGTCCAATTTCCCTAACTACGACTTTACTGATGCATTTACCTATCCAAAACTACGATGTAGTCGAGAAACGACTTTCCCGATACACCTTTACCAATGATGCCTTTACCGACGACTTTGCTGATTCATTTACAGGGCCATTAGAGATCATGAAATTGGACCTCCACTCTTTCTAACCACTACTGAACAACCAGATGAGGGCCTTTCTTTATACAAATTTCTTTGTAATGACAATTGACCTTCTATAAATTCTCAGAAATTTAGCGATGGTATTGATGGTGGAATAAATTCATCCCCTACGTCGGGGTTGCGTTTTCCTGGCTCCATTTTTGACTCCTGGGAACTAGCGAAAATCAAATAATGCCGATCTCCAGGAGGTCTGATCATGAGGTCAAAGACCCAAAGTGTCTATTTCTCAACCAAAACTCAAGGACTAGTACCTAATGGGTCTAACTAAAAAGCATTTGAATATTTACCTTGTTTCAATTCGGCCTGACGGTTTCGGGAATACACCTTGCCTGTATGAGAATAAAAGACATTTCTCTGTTTGACTGTTGCATAGAGCAACTTAAGGAGTCCTTTCAAGCAACGACATGAGGGATCATGATTCGGCGTTCGAAATCAACATGATCACGGGTTACCAAACGGACTTGACACACCAACCTGCCGTTCACGATTAGGAATTGGGCTTACACATATGATGACCCGCATGCACCCTACAATGTTTTTTATCTAGCCGAGCTTCCTAGGCCCATGAGCCCATTTTGGTGAAACACTGAGCGTGAATTCCGCTCCATACACGCCGGTGAAGGGGGAGTCTGCTGGCCTGCGCACGACGCGTGATCATATGAATTGTCCAGCTCATTGCTATATCAACTAACACTGCTTCCACATATGACTCTACCGAGGAGATCGAGCTTCTTCTCAATAGGTAAAGGTATTTACCCAGAATTCTCGAAGTATGATAGGTATGTTCACTAGATGTGCTTACTCGTTAATCCTTCAAGGCTTGACGAGTAAAGTACATGTAGTGATACATATTCATGCTATAGATCTGTGACGCCGGCCCATCATCCTCAATCGCTGTCTTCTTAATGGCGTAATAGCGTAGTGCTCACTTTGTAAACATTGGATGATTGGAAACCCCCACCTCCGGCACAGTAATTTCGGATGTTTACCTCTCTACATATGGTCTTCATTTGATGTTCTATATTTCAGGTCAGTTTGATGGGCAGGCGTGTCAACTTGAATTCTTATTCACAGAAATCAACTTTAATCTCGAAGGAAGCTTTACTTCAGCGGTTTCCTTAATTATTCACACCGAATCGAGCCACAAAGACTGACACCTAGCTTCATCTTGGCGTCCTAGCTAGATTCGTTGATTGGTTACAAAGACCAATGACAGATATCATGCTTCCGAGTGGATGCATTGTCTTTTTAAGGATGTTTGTTTTTTTGGTTATATGAGTTATGATCAGCCAATCGCAGTGCATATCACGCCGGAATAAGGACACATTGTGGACTTGTTGAACTCCGTAACCATCGAGACTGCGCGCTTCGCACTTCTCCGTGCAGATCACCCGCTTAATTTTGTGACAGGCCTTAAGCCAGTCCCATAGCATTTAGTCGTGCTAGCATTTAGTCGTGCATGCATATAAGTAGTCTTTTCAATTAAGCAATTAGCATGCAGAGGTACTTGTCTCACTGCCACGCCAAAACCTGGAGTCCTAGAAGTATCTCCAGAACATCCGCAATATCGTTGGGCGCGCTAGAATACATGTAGTCAGTATATATGATCGGTCACTCGCTGCGGTGCGTCGAAGAATTTTAATATCTAATTTTCCCACTCTTTCTTCTTACTTTCCCAGAAGTTTGCTACTTCAAGTCCCGAAGCACTAGACGGAGGCCATTACAATAATTTCTCCGTTACATCTTCTTTGAATCCGTCGACACCATAACCCCCCTTTGCTATCGTTTCCATTTATTCTTATCGCGCCGGGCCGCGTTAGGATCCCTACGACCGTACTCCTCTACAAAGAGAAACTCAAATTCCTCCATTAATGCGATGGCTTTCTTGTTCCTTCTATCCCTAGCAGCCTATGTCTCGTCCGCGCCTGTTGCATCTGTTGCATCTGTGGCACCTACACCTACACCTGCAGCTGTTGCGCCTATTGCGGCTGAAGGTGAGAGAGTAGGTTGGACATCGAACCCTGATGGTCGCGGAACCTCGAAAATTATTATCAGTTGTTCCCTCACTATTGCACTCTGTATATGGACTGCAATCCACCCCGATCTCGTCAGGAAACCTTTGAAAGACAAAGCAGACCCCAGTGGGAGCGAAAACAGTTCCTCAGCGGGCGCCGAAACCCCGGACGGCGAAGAGGTTAATCCACGGAGCGATACAAACACCCCCGATAGTGCACAAACAGCAGTAGCTCCGTGTCCAACCTGTGGTGAGACTCAAAAGTCTAGGCGCGACGCTACTCCGGGTGTCGGAGGGGGCGCCGTCGCTCCTTCACGAGGCCATACAAGTAGCCCCGATCCTATAACTGCGGACCACATGGGAGGCAACACAAGTGTTACTTCACATAGCGTTAATGCAACTCCTCCAGCAGCAACCGGGGACAGCAAATCACAGCCCGGCGCTCCAGAACCAAATAAACCTCCGCAAAGCGACGTTTCAAAACGCTTCTGGCAAAAACTGTACCTTTCTTTCAAGGCCCTTTTCATGCCAGAAGAGGTAGTTACAGATGCTCGGAAGCAGTGGATTCATGCTTTCCGACTGCATCGCGCCATGATAGCTGGGCACTACATATTACACAATACATCTACGGACGAGAATAACAATTATATTTTCGAAGAAAACCGAGTCGGACCATTTAACTGCTGTGAGGTCAAAGATCCGGTCAAGTGGGATGTATTCAGAAAAGAGGTTGCTTTCTTTGTGGTTCAGGGTGGATTTGTGAGGAAAGATGGTACCTTGATATCCCCTTTGGACCTTTACTCCGCCTACATGACCAACCCCAAGAGCGTCCGCGACCAAATCAAAGTTGAGGATATCCGCGACAAGGGCAATGCAAATGTTCTTACCAAAGTCATTGTATCTTTCCAATGCGGGTGGTATGTCCTGAACCTCCTAGCTAGACTCGTTTCGGGCCTCCCTATAGCACTTCTCGAGCTGCATGCGATGATTCACATTGTCGCTACTTTAGTGATGTACATGTTTTGGTGGAATAAGCAACTGGACGTCAGCGAGCCGATTATACTAGAAATCCCTCACTTCAAATATAATAAGACCTGGGCAGATGTCCCAATAGAAGCGGTGCGACCAAGTAAAGGCTGGAAGAGACCACTCAGCGAAGTATGGGTTTTGCCACCAAAAAAGCATGACGAAATTAAATGGAACGCTGCCATCGATGCGCTCAAGGCGTTGAAGACAGAGTTCATTGCATTGGAGAAAGAGCCTCTATCATCCGCGGATTCCACATATGATGATTGCAATTGTGGGATGAATGGAGATGGACTATTTCAGCGACTATTATCAGACTGGGGATCATTTCTTCAGCGTGGACCTAAAATCAGAACCAAGGACCAGGAAACGACTAGTAGAGGAGAAACTGGTGAGGAAGAAAAGGGATCTAAGACCACAACTACAACGATCCCTGCCGACCCATCGCCAGATTCTCACCTTGAGAATGAAGATGAAAAGGATGAAAGATTTTCGGGAATCAATCTTAAGCTGGCTTGCGCATTCTATATCACCTACGCAGGTTTACATGCAACCGGAGGGAGATTCTCTTTCCCCAGCAAAGAAGAGCAATTGATATGGAGGATCTCATGTTTGGTTATCGCAATAACACCCTTTCTGATCGCTTTGGTTAAGAGAATTCTTAAAATGATGAAGATTTCAGCGAAGGAGGACGGCTTACGCGGCCTTTGGTTCAATGGCATCTTGTGCATCTTATATCTGGGGGGCGCCTGGACACTTCTGATTGAAAGTATTCTCAGTCTAAGGAACCAACCAAAGGAGTTATACCAGACACTCGACTTGTCTATCTACGTTCCTCACATTTGAAGATATATCCAGGCGCCCACGGCTACCTGGGGCGACGGAATTCATAATAGATATATGGTGGAAGGGGGGCCCGGGGCGGTTCTTTTGTTTTCTTTCTATTCATTCTTTACCGTGTTCACTTTTATATTTTCTTATGAGATCCAATTTTGATATAAATATATTGAATGTATTTGGTATATCGTGGGGGGACAAAAAAATTCATTTTCTGTGTTTTGTGCAATGAGACCGGGAGGTATTGCAAGAATACATTAGTAAGAAGACATATAGATTGCCGGGTGCACGTGATAGTACTCGTATCGTGTTGCACTTTAGCCTTGTGTGTGGAGTTTCCACTCTATGCAAACCGTAATCACCGTTGGTGCAAAGAATTCGGGTTCTATACATTGAAAATTAACAATAACCGTTGGAGCCTCTTATCATAATCACACATTATCACTCGCGTCTCCTACAGGATGTTTTGTTAACATGAATAAAATGATAGAAAGCAGGGCCGGCTAAAATCTCGGAACAACCGCCCCGCGAATGAAACCCTAGATAATAGAATATATACAATCTTGAATATCGTAGTAGATAAAAGCTTTTTGGTTGCTAATTCATACCGTCTTGTTACCTCCTTTTTGCCTTCGGAAGGCCGAGGGATTGACAATCGATACTTTCCGGCTATACACATTCGGAGCTTTACATACGGGTAATACATCGTCTATGTACTGTCCTACCGAGGATAAATATCGCCACTGGAAGGCACACCAGTGGAACCAAGTGCTAGCCTAGAACCAATCAGAAAATAGAAAATACGTACCCGCGATATATACAGGGGGAGGCGTATTACTATACCGGAAGGCCTGAGTTATAATCCTCTAGATCGATCTTTGTAGAATAACGAGATCGATCTCTTGGATCCATTGCTTTAATTACAAACTAATCATGAAACAGTCCTCATTTCTCTCGTAGTTACTACTGCCTTGCCAGACACTTCCCCGAGGTGAAGAAACAAGGAATAAAAGTATCTGCGCATCTGGGGACGAGCCTTCAACACCCATGGGTATTGCTTGTAGACCCCCCCCCCCCCCCCCCTTTCTTCTACCACTGAGTATGATATATTCAGCTGCCCTATATCCTCAATTGCAAGAGAGTAACTGGATCCGACAACCATTTATATCAATAAAATAGACCAGAGGCGACGATAAACGGAGAAAAGGTTTCTTGATAAGATACCTAGGTGCACAAATAATTAAGATAAAATATACATGCCACTTTTACCTGAAGGCAGGGAGGAATCTTCTGAAGTGATGGCTAGGGACCCTCGTAGCGGGTTTTAAGAGAGTCACAGGTTATCACTCGCAGAATATCCCAGTCGTTGATTTTTTGTGTTTGTTCAATTCATTCGTGTGATGGATATTACATGGCCAAGTATTATTAGAAAGTACTCCTTTGCGAGAGGGCCTTGCATATCCGAGCTCTCAAGATGCGGGGAAATAAATGAATCGTGGAGTTATCCCCAGCGCCGTCAGGATCAATCAGTCAGAAGACCTTCGATAACGACAATTCCCACGTAGCTAGTCCCACAACCACCGAGCCTCTCGCATCTAAACAAAAGCAGTGTAGGTACTTCATACATCTCGCAAAAAAAAAAAGGATTTAAAAAAAAAGAGCAACAAAAGAGTTCGGTACCCAGGATTCCCACATGGTCACCCACTGCAGTACTAACTAGGCGATACGATGTTTGGGTATGGCAGAGCGGACGGGATGCCCCACTTTCATCGTTCTATGACCGAACACGTTGATTGTGTGTTTTGAATGAATTTATATCGATAGTGGTGGCTGTTCTTGTGGTTGCGGTTGTGGTTGTTGGTTGGATGGGAGGTTTGGTCAACGGCGACAGTCAACCTTGTGCTGTTACAGTATATACGCGAAGCACCTAATGATCTCAACGCTTCAGCCAATTAGCGGAAATCTTTTTTATAGACCATTTTGAGGTTCCCGTTGTTGCTGTTGGGGTTTTGATAACCGGGACATCCGTTGTCGGATAAGCGAATTTGATCCGAAAAAGCTTAATTGGGTTCCAGCCAACGATTGGATAACGGTTTTACATAACAGGCTTGTACGGTTCTACATGCGGCAGCCCGGCGGTAATGCGGCTAATACAGAACCACTGGGGAGACGGGGGGGTTGTGTTTCCAGGTACACTTTGGGCATATACCTTAGACAGACATATATGTCCGAAACGGGGAAGAGCTTCGGAATGTGTGAATGTCTCACTCTATCCGTCTAGCACGAAATCCTACATATCTACTTCCTGCGGCACCTCCGAACCCCAATAAATGGTCGACCTACGCACCAGCCGAAGAGTAGAAACGAGTTCTCATCCCGAGCGCTTGGGGGGGTAAAGGAATCCGAATCCCCCGGCCAACTACTACCTCTAGGCATATTTTTATCTGCAGACCATGTTTACCCAAACTACCACGGGCGAAACTTCCCACACGAACAACCACCCTCGACCTCTCGGATATGCTACATGTTTTAAGACTGATCATATGTTTTTTCACAACGGTTGTCATAACCCGAGAGCCGCCGTGATGGAGGATCTCGCGAGGGCTATGCTCGACGCCGAGCCGACTGTCCGAGTTACTTCTTGGTGGTAAAAGAATAGGTTTTGTTTGGCCGGCTGATGCTAGTCTCAGGGCTTTGATATGTTCTTATATTGGAATCACAGATCATCACTCGGATACCGAACCAGCGGACAAAATTCGTGTTTATTGCTTGGTTATATACTGCGCGGAGTGCTAGCTTGTTAAAAGGCTTATTCTTCAGAGATGATGTGGAGATGGACATGTTGAAGCCTACATCTGTAGCCTCAGACTGCTCGTCATGAGGGTTTACGGGAGGTTGGTATCTGGGGATGGTTGGCCAATTGGACGGTGATCCTCGACATTATTATATACGTCTATGGAGACATTGTGCCGCAAGAAACGATTGTTACAATATCCGTCTGAGATATATAGTTTGAATGGAGATTAGGTTTATCGAATAATTCCGCTACGACTGCATTGTACCTTCGGCCTGCGGCCGTGTATCAATTTTGAAGATAAGATGTAGCGCGAGATAAGATCCCACATACTTAGTAAGATCTTGAACACAAACAGTCTGAAAACATCCAAACGAAACGAAGAATATCGCATCGAATAGCACGGGGGGGATACCGGTTACTACGGCAATTGGCCCAGTCATGTGTTTTATATACGGACATCCGTCTTTGAACATCCGGGTATGTAGCATTTCTAGCCCACACGCTTAAAACCTCAGCCTCAAACAAAGGCAATGTGGCTTATTCCTCCAGCACTATCCATGATTGCCCCAGAGGCCAACGGCTGTTGAAACAAAATCGCCCCAATATCTCAACCCTCCCCAAAGAGGACAAGACAAAGTTTCGGCACACCCCCCGACGACCTGCATGCTGAAGAAATACGCCGCACGTCTTGGCAGGGATCAGGGTCAATTAATTAAGCATATGTATGTAAGTAGAATAAAGCCCCGAAATATATAGATCGGCACATTTCGACAGATAATTAGCCGCTGGATGCAGGGACAGAGAAGCATCCCTGCCACGCGGGGATGCGGGGGTACCGGGTGCGATCAGACCTGCCGAATCAAGGTGAGGCGAAAGGTTAAAGCAGAGCCTCGAGCCGTCATCGTGCGTAGAGAGGCATGTAGAGGAGAGGTGACATTGAGACACCTTCTTCTGGGAATTGAGGTTGGGGGTTGCGGATGCTGAACAGCTGATGTTAAAAATGGTGGTTTGGAGAACTTCATTCTTCGTATTGATCTTGGTATGCGGCGAAGGTTGGGGGCTGTCGATACCCCACTGCTAGTACATAGATGCAGTATCAAACTTTCCGCGTCTGTAAAATATACGATGCTCAATGCTTTCTATACTTGAGAAATGGCCGGCCGTCTCCCAAGCATACATCATCGCGAAACATTGTAGAAACCTAATTGAAGGCTGCAATTGCTGATACCGTGAGAGTGTCCTCATCGGTATGCGGCGCGGATTTCGTATGGCGGATGATTGTAAGAAACAACTGATACAACAATATGACAACTCTGGCAGAACCACAATTACGGCGCAGATATAAACGTATTGCCAGCGCGCGATACATCAAACTAGCATACAAGAACGTTAGCCGAGCGCCGGTATTCAGAATACGAGCATGCGCAGAAATACAGCAACACTTCTGCTTCGTCCTATTGCCGTGGGGTACTAGAGTAGTACTTGCTACAGGATGCAGGGCTGGTGGTACCGCCCCCACGGAACACAAAGGGGTGAGACTGGCTAACATTCTTCACGCCATAGAATGCCTTGTTCGGATTCTTGAAGCCTTGCATGAGATTCTTCTGGCAGCTGGACTTTTTCTTTGTGTACATCTTCGTGGCTCATGGGGTGTGTCATTGATATATATACAGACTTTATAGGGTGGTCTCACAATGAGGAGAGAGAGTTCAGGAGTGAAGTACAGAGTTCAAAGAGTGAATTACAAGTCGAATAACTTTAATCGCCTATAAAACAAGAAATAAGCTCAAATGCGCGATAACTAAGTACCTTAACAAATACTCTGAGGCCCCAAGTGATTAATACGCCACGCGCGCGCGACGGTACCAAGTTCTATCCAAGCCACCCCCGTGATCTTGCCGCGCGGTAGCACAATACCTAGCCTTTCTGAGAAAAGAAGCAATAATTATGAAATTTAGGGGTTACTTACCATATGCCGAGGCTTATTCCACTAGCTAGCTCCCGGCCGGGGAAATGATCAAATGACCAGAAATGCGAAGCGACAACTGACATAAGACGCCAAGACCACCGAAACGGACCCCACGACTACATGTATGTAGCCTGAAGAACCATCTCGCGCCGCATTGCAGTCTACCATGTGCAGCTGTGCCTGATTGCTCTAATTCTCTATCACCCGACGGTAATGCCGCAGAGCGTATACATACCAGCCTTGTGAACTCACCTGCTTAATTCTCCGAATGTTGCAATTGTCTTATTTGAGACGTTCAGATCTGTGTTGCCGTGGGGGTGCGGAACGAATAGACTGCGAAGCATTGGATCGAAGGAATCAAATGCGCACGAACATCTCGCTAATTAACAAGATGGGATATCAAAATTGAGGGGAAGTGCATGCCCATAAAGGACAACTATGGCAGTCTGTCCGTCGATGGCGAAGTAGCGGGTACGTGGCCTATTGAGTTGAGACGATATTTGTCCTCATTGCAGAATTAATTGTTTAAACGTTAGCGTAGGGTGGGCTCGTCCCAGTTCCCCCGGCTTGTGTCCTTGAGACGTCCCGCGACTTCCTGCGATGGGTCTCGAGAGGTCTAGATTTCTCTCGTATCGTCTAAGAAAACACCAATTGCATTCTATGTAGGTACATATCTCGCTTCAACATTGAGTTAGTGTCTTACAAGCAAATCGACTAGGATGCATATGCAGATACCCCGGTCGATTGTCTTCCCACCATGCAGTCGCAAAACGGAATCCAGTCGCAACTCGATATGTCGGATATATTGCCAAGATTCTAAGGATTTCGTATGACGGGATAGTAAAAAGATCCGGGATAGCAAATTGATTTTGTAGTATGTAGCAAAAATAATATTCTCAGAGGACCTCGTACGGGACACTGGCAAGGGATCCGGTGCATTGATTTCTCTACCAGGGCGGTTAATGCATCAATTGATGCATTGCCCACATAAGCACGGGAAGTAAATGCATCAATTGATGCATAAGCTGTCGTGAGTTGTGGAAAGTGGCATGGTCGATGCATTATCGATGCATTATGGCTTACTTTACTGATGATAATCTACCAAGAACACATTGACTGACGAGTTTTGTCTAGAATGTCGTTCGGAAATCCGTTTGAAAGGTCGTTGATAGTTAAGAGCTGTACGACGGTTATAATTGGTAGATACAGTAATACGTAAAGTCGTCGATTAATGTGTTCGTTGAGTAAGTAGGTACGAAATGTGCTAGTAAATGGGGTAGTAAATGTGGTAGTATACATGTTCCCAGACGACTTTCCCACTGCTGATTACCTCCATTCCTTTCCCAAGCCACTTTTCAGACGACTTTCCTCCTGCTGATTAACCCCCTACGCTTTTCCAAACCAATTTTCAGATGACTTTCTACAGACATCTACCTCAATCACTTTTACAAACCACTTTGCAGACGACTTTCCAGACAACATTCCGGACAAAACTCGTCAATAAAGTGGTTGTTTGGGCAAGTGTTGATATCTGCTGTCCGACAAGGTATTTGACATCCCTCCCAATTTCGGACTTGGAAAAATGTTTATCCATTGCTTAGGTGAATGCGTCTCTATCCTATGGTTAATATAGCACCGATTTATTGCCTCAATATACCAACTGATAGCTTAGTTAGTAAGGCGTGGGGCAATTAAGCACAATAGTACCAGTTCGATCCCGACATTGTATTTTATTTTTATGCATAGAAATGTAGAACACATTTACTGATCCATCTACTGACGATTTAATTGATGTATTTATAATAGCTAAATCGTCAACTAGCCTATTAACCGCCGAATATACTGACGAATTGACTGAAAGCTTAACTGAAGACTTGACGCATTAATTGACAATATCGAGTAAAGTCAGCAGTAAAATCGTAAAGTGGGACTGGGGATGCATTCGCCGATGCATTATACGATGCATTATTCTGGTTATGGTACACGAAAGGGGGGATGCATTTACTGATGCATTATCACGATACATTTCCCACCGCAGTAGAGTTTCAGGGATACCGAGTTGTGACTGTATACTCTGCACAATAGAGATTTTAAGCCACCAAAGATTTCTGGCAAGAACAAAAAAGATCAGCACAAAAAAGATCAAGCCTCGTCGCTCACTTCCAAACTGGTAGTCTTGAGGCTCTTACTAGTGCTCAATACGGCGGTATCAACAGCAAAAATTACCAGTCCTGCGTCAGTCTCGCCTTTGACCCTGCACCGCTGATCTTTTCTGTGATGGCTTAAGCTCTCTGATCAACCTCGCGCCATGCAGCGGCAGTCGCAAAAAGAAATACTTGATTCCCTATTAGCGAGATGATTCCTAGAGTACTGTACTCTACCGTGGGTACATACGTTAGGTATCTCGAGTTAAGATTACCGCACAGCAGACATGCACGCGGTACGTTGGAATTCCCCCACCTGGACATTTGTCTCGAGTCTCGCCTCACCCCGCAAGCCGCAGAATCGATACACGACGCTTGGTAAAGCCTGATATATCCCCACCAGTGCCGCGTACGTACCTCTTCTCTCCGTCCCCGATCTCCCCACTGTTCGAATCCCGCTGGGGTGCACATGTCCCGAGCACGGGGAGGCAAGGGACCCTGTACTCATCAGCGGGCCCCGCCAACTTAACCCCCCCCCCTAGGATTCCACTATATAGCTCTCAGTTTAAAATCACGATCAGAGGAAGCGGGGGCCGCTGATGGTTGCCGGGCGTGATGCCTCCCTGTGCTCGCGACATGTGCACCCCAGCGGGATTTAAACAGCGGGGAAGATTGGACACGGATCAGCGCGGGACACTGGTGGGGATAGGCTTCGTCGTCTGCTGGTGCGCAGCTTGCCGATGGGAGGGGATGTAAGCGTCCTCCAGCACAGCATCCCCTCACCAGACATCATCCCGCCCTGTACTACGTATTTGCTGTGCCGCGAAACCGGCATTCAGAAGAAGCGAGCTTAAATGAAAGATCCGACACGCATCTGCCAGGGACCTCTCGCTACGCCGCAGAGCCTCGATGCAGAGCCGCGGCGTTATTTCGCCCCCCCTCCCCCCCGGGCACCACCAATAAATATCCTTGAACGCTGCATTCCTGCCCTGCGGCGGAGCCTCGTACGAGGGCAGCACAAGAAACATGTGAGAACCCTTCCCACACGAGTACATCGTCAGAAGTTTAACCGCCCGGATACAGGTGTCGATATCTCCCGAGGATTGCTTGCTGGTGAGGAAGGAATTGTGTAGGGTGTCTGGATGAAAGGTGTTTCGTGTTTCCAGCGGAGGTTTGGGGTATATATATTGCCCTCGTCCTCCGCTCAGTTGCAATCACCAGCCCTCATCATCTTCTTGAACATCTGCCTTGATCGAGTTTGATACCGGGCTTCGATCTAGCTACTCCTCTAGTTATCTCGACATCCAAAACCCTCCTCCTCTTCCTCCTTCTCTACCTACCTCACACTCAATAGTCTCCACAAACATGCGTTTCTCCCTCCTCCCCCTCCTCCTCGCGCCCCTGGCCGCCCTCGCCAGCCCGGTCCCCATCACCACGCCCGAGGGCTACACCGTCACCTGCTACTACGACTACAGGGCCGCCATGGCCGTCGGCATCGACGCGATCCTCTATGCGTACGAGGACGACAACGACGTGCTCGACTACCCATGGGAGAAGATGAACTTTGGCGCGGTGATGCGCGCGAACGGCGATGTGAAGGTGAAGGTCTCGACGGCGGTACGGGAGGCGAGGGACTATATTCTCGCGAATTGTCAGCTGCCGGATGAGGCGGACTATGGCGGGTTGGTGGATTTGGGGAGTCATAGGGTTAGGTTGGCGGCGCCGGGGAAATAGGTGTGTGGTGGTGGGTTGGGGGAGTGGGAGTTCGAGTGGGATGTGGGATGTGTATGGGAGAAAATGGTAAAGGTTGTATGTATAGTGGTGGTTTCTGCCTATGGGCGGGACTTGGGAAGACTAGGAGGTATCATGGCTTTGTACAGGCTGTGTGTGAGTTTTGTATAATGCTTAAAAAATATAATCTACCGGAGGTCTTCTTATGCTTCACTGTATCGCGTTTTGGTGTATTATGTGATTAGGGATACTTTGTACCATGCACGAAGCTCACCCCTAATATGGTTCATTATACTCCCGGAATGTGTTGTTTTGTAAACCGTCAGATGCCAGAATTAGCAACTTGAATGGAGCTAGATATTGAATGCATTGCCACTTGATATTGCTTCGGCGTAGAAATAAGATCAACAAAAATACCCGTAAGAAAACATTTTCACGGCCATTACTTCTTGATAGATTTATGATCCCTCTTGCCGTATATATATCCAGTGTGCTCCCGGCTAAGTAGACATGTAGTAACTTACAGCATGATGCCAATTTAAACACAGGAACGATGTGATACTCGAGGCAGCCCCACACTTCCGGCGGCTATATCAAGCAATTTAATGCATAGTCGGTTAATTTGGAATTCTCGCAATACCATCTGCTGCGAATCATAACGCTCGTTTGTCCATGATCAAGTCTTGGTAATGCTGCCGGGGATCAGGACTCGAACGATCAGGTGTTTGGGGAAATGCCAATGCTAAGCAATAGTTCTGTAGCTTTTAAACGTTGTAATATTGTAGACCGGATTCAGCTCGCTTGATGGGTGATGATACCGCTAAGTCGAGGCAGAACCGTCTTCTATTGACACATATTGGAACCTATGCCAAGGACCGTTTTCTAATACTAACAACATAAGAATAATAAAATAACACAATCAACCTGAAGATAACCCCAATAGAAAATCGTCCTTGCATAGTCTCATTCTCCATTCTAATCCCGACACGTAACCTTGAACCTTGCAACTGCCAGTAACCGAGCTGTATCATACTATTGTCCTAGCCCTACTTCCCGACTCGGAAGTAGAACAGCCTGCAGCCATTAGCCCCGCTGCTATTCCTTTCCGGGTGAGTCACCCTAATAGTAAGCGTGCCATCACAATAATCTAATACTAGTGTGGTCGCACCACGTGCTTCCCCACTACCCGATACCTTTCTATGCTTGTCTTTTCATTACCCGACCATACTTTCATCACAACCCGTCACTCATTTTCCTCATTGTGCTTCCCCTTTGCACAGCGTTCCATAATTGCTATAACATCAGGACTATCTAGATTGTTCTGGTAAATAAGAATAATATATAGAGATAACGAAGCCATCGCGATGTACCAGGACCACTAAGACCACCGAGATATCTCCGGCTTTCTTTTCTATGGAGTATATATGATGCAGATAGCCTATGATGTATGTAATTAGGATATTCAGTTGCAATAGGTTTTTCATCGTCACTTCCGGGGGTTCAAGTTGGAAAAGTCAGTTGTGGTTTTTGAACGTCCTCGAGGCTAGAGTTTAGGTGCGTTTACTCGGTTTCTGATATCTCGTCTCGTCCCACCCATCCTACCACATCCCTGTCTTGGAAGTCTCAATCTCGAGACTGGTATTATAAACCAAATTTGATCGAGGTAACAATTATGACATAACCCTACTCCTCCTAACGTATATATTCGCCGCAATGGGCAGTTTTTGATGATGCTCTCAGCTGAGCGCCTAAGTACATAGCTATCCGTCGTCAGTACCATCCAAAGTAAGCTAACGGGGAAGCAGAAATACTTGGCAGATTAAATTCAAGACCAAAGCACACCCGGTTTGCCGTGAGAGTGGTGTTTTGCGTCATGAGATGTCACTCGGAGTCGCGAGACCTGGCTGGTGATGTGGTTTTTTTTTTTTTCCTTTCTTTTTTTTTTTTTGTTTTATTCATTAATTACTGGTGATGTGGTAATCGCATAAAAATGACCCTAAGGGTTAGGTGTAGCACTCAGGATACTGTACGTTATACGTGTATAGAGAATACTTTAGCAGCTTAGCTGTCATCAAGAAGAGTCTGTACTTAGTTTGAGAGAAGAGGATTAATTCCTCTTCTCTCATCATCAATACAAGTAACTAAGAATCAACCTCCGAAGTTACTTCAGGTGAGGCTATTGCGTGCGGGCGGGTCGGGCGGGTCGGACGGGGAAAAAAAGGATCTTGAGTGTGTGCTTTGGCTTGTTTTGGTGTTGTTTTGATGTTGCAGAAAGGGTATTAGGGGAGGGGGGTACGGTTGTCTGGGGATAGAGTCTCGACTCGTGCTGGCCGTTAGGGAGCTGTTGTATTGTGAGCATGATGGAGATGCGTAATAGGGATTGATGTCGATAGTGAAATCGATTGTCGATGGCCTAGCTAGTGTGAATGAGTCTATCGAAGGTAACTACATATTCCTTAAGCTGTCGATATATGCTGACCCCCCTATAACAGAGGAATTAGATTTGTATGAGAGATTTAGTATTTGATAAGAGAGATAGCGAGATCTGGTACCGCATTAATTCGTTCGAACGGCCGGTCACACAAGACGTCGAAGTTGCCTTTTCAAGCTAGTATGAGGGAAGATTAAGGGGCGTATTCAAGACAAATAACCAAATACGGGAATTTCAACGTCTTGTGTAACCGGCCGTTCGAACGAATTAATGCGGTAGTGAAGCCACACCAAATATGCTTTTTCTTAGTTGGTCAGCATTTTCGCGATAGCATAAGGGATAGAGAGCTAGCTAGCTACTTAGGTTGAGGGGGGGAATACAGACTCAAAAGATCTAGAGCGAGGGGTTGATGCAAAGGTAGCGCCACCGGAATGGATTGTATAAGCTGGGTATGGAGGTATTAATATTGACAATAAGATATAAAGCACCGGGAATATATAGGGTTAGCAGTGGACGCGGTGGCGTCAATAGTGGGTATTGATTAATGTTTGAGTAGCGTAGGTACACCACGTGGAAATAAAGAAGCTTACGCTACCAGAAAGGGCGGGGTGGTGTATGTATGTATGGTCAAACAGCACTATTGATCCCCCTGAGAAGTGCATTAGTTGATATTTTCTTTTCCCAAGTATTGGGGCTGGGAAGCTAGTGTAGCAGAGTGCATTTTGTGGGGATTGGGCCAATCTGCAAATTCCTCTATTGGAGATGAAGTATGAAGTAATACGCGAGGTTGTAAGACACTTAATTACTTCTTATTGTGACGATGAAGTGGAAGAGGGGATTATCCTCGCTTCCCTCCTAATATCCTAGTGTTCTAATGACAACTAGTCCTTTGATTTTAATGACCAGTATGATGTAGTTCTACATACATGTATGTACTAAGCAGTGCTAGTTGGTGATCCCAATAAAATAGCAATATGATATGGATGAAGGTTAAAATAAACAAATATCAACTACTCGCAGAGACGTGAGGTAAGATCTAATGAGTTTAAAACGTAAACTCGTGTCGTACTGCTTCCTTCTTATCAATGGCACAATATACAAGATAGCTGTATAAAACCTATTGCTCGGGCGGATGAATTTTGTCAAATTCACGACGGCCTGGACCGTGCACCATTTAGTAAGGGAATTATCTTGCTTTTTACGGTTGGCAACAACAGCAGAGCCAATCACGAATTTACAATAATTACCACAGAAGGCTAGTGATAGCTGAAAGAGGGAAGTCGCGAATTTGACATAAGTCATCCGCCCGAGCGATAGTACTCTAGCTTTTGTTAGCGGTGCTCTAGATCTCCTCCGGGTTGTTGCTGCGAGGTTGAGACATTGGCAATATGGGGCTGGTTACATGCATATGGTCAAACTAGATAAATTGGCTCTCGCCGGTTTCTGTGACGTTTCTTATCCGTGTACTAAGGGTCAATGTCCTTAAAAAATAAATGCTGATACGCAAGCCGATTACATATATATACTATGCTTAGGCATGTTTTCACTCATAGTATGATTCTCGAAAGATACTTGTAGCCTATCCAGGAAATTGAGATTACCTTTTACGGGAATACACATGAAAGCCTTGACCTCGGATATCCTAAGAGAGCTATCATTTTAAGATTTGAAGAACCGCACTGTATATGCACGTTTTGGAGCGAAACAGGAGTTCAATAGATTTTGTGAGAACCCTACGTGATTCTCAGACAATACAGGCCCAGGCTCAGATAACAGAAACTAAAGTTCGTATTGATTATGGTGATGATGTTGTGATGATGAACAAATGAAAGAAATGAGACTATGAGATACAAAGAGGGTCTAGCTACTGCCACGGTTGCCACTACGTGACCTGTCCTTGACCCGTAGTCACATAGTTGCACAAACGCCTCGCCTGCGCCACAACGTGTGTGAAAGTTAGTCGATCCTAGTTTTACGAAACCTGCTGTAATCCAACCCTGACCCTGTGCCTTACGAAATGTGATGAACTCCTCCTAGTATCTCCCCTTGACGGATGTTACAGGCGCTGCTTTGTAAGTCATGGTGTCCACAGTTTAGCTTAACTAGACGTGTCACCTCAATTTATACCTATAAGTAGATAGTTAGGCTCTTATCCTCCTTCGTACATAAGAGCTAGAATCATCCATCCTAGTACCTATCAAGTCTTCCAGGTACATGCTCGCTCCTCGCTCGTATTTAGACTCAGACATAACAGATGGTCTCCACCTGAAATCAGCTCTGCTTCACGAATCTCTCCGTGCCCCACAACTGGAACGCGACCACGGCTTCCGAAGCCTCCGGGGGGTCCGAAGAGTGGGGGGGGGAAACGCGCAGCTACATTCAGATTTCGTCGCAGCGAAAGATCTCACCTCAGCCCAGGGGCATCAATGTGTCAATAGAGCCACACACGCACAGGGGGAATTGAATTCCTCTGACTGATAGTTATGTACAAAGCCTGCTAGTGTTTGACCAGATTGAGGACAGCTACCGAGTCCCGGGGGGGTACGTACTCCACGTACATACTACGGGCTTGCCGTGGACTCTCGTTTTCTCGGGCTGACTGGTGGGGGGGGGGGGGGGGGGGTGGTCTCCGAGACAGCATCGGGTGTAACGAGGCACTCCACAGTCCACAGTGTGAGCCCACACACAGCTCGGAATAGGGCTCGGCATTGATGGAGTGGGTGCTGGGCACGGGCCGTTCTGCTTACTCAGGCTCGCTGTGGTGGTTGCAATTACGTAAGGTTGTTGGCCTTGCCGAATTAAGTGGTGCTTCTCTCTCTCTCCTGACCTGACATGTGTGTGCGCGTGGTTGACTTGGTTGACTTGTGGGGTTGAGTGAGACTTGCTTGTTCCAGCAACCCGGGTGGTGTTGATCAGATAAGCATTTGCTTTCTCTGCCATGCCTGCTGCTGCCGCCTTCGCTCATTGGAAGGACGGTACTTCCCGCTCAAGATTTAGCCTTCTCGGCCAGTGCGCAGACAGACTCCTGTTCACCTCGCTTCCGGGGTGTGACTTTCCCGTCATGAAACATCACTAGAGAGCTAGCTGATGTTGATACATACATGTAGGTACAAATCCGTTTGACACTCCACCGTGGAGTAAATACAGTCACATGCAGAGGCAGAGTCGCTCTCTTTCTATCAGCCAGGTGTGCCTGGGTGGATCAGTATCGCCTCCCCCCCCATTCTTGGACGTTCATCCCATGGAGCGTGTCGATGGCAACGTGGGCCTGAACGCATGCAGGGACGCTGGATGTCGATCAATAGGAGTGGATAGCAGTGTAGCACATGGAAAAGCCACATCTGGCGTAAATACATATTTGTCATTTGTGCGACGGAAGACTGGAATGTGGCTTTACGGCGGATCGTGGATATTCCCACAGCGTGCAACCGCCACATCTCCATGTCGCCTTAAATTCCATCTCAGCTAATACGTGGTGAAGGATCAAGGGATATCGGGTATATATGTGCCTCTTTGTATAATCTGAAGATCCCCGTGCATGGCGCCAGTCCGGCATAACTAATCATTCGCTGAAGAATTTTAGAATTTCTGGTTCTGTGTTCAACACCCCCGGTAGCTACATGACAGCTGGGACCGTGCGGCCCCGCCAAAACGCCATGTAATCCGCTCTCCCAGACTACATGCCTACATACATCGTAGTGGGTCTCCCGGGGCGCCTACGAGCTCCCTGATTGGCAACGTCAAGAGTAGTCACCATTCCAAGAACGTGCTCGGCCAATATCGCCCCATTGGCTGGAAGAACCTCCCATGGAATACACACCGGTACCATATCTCTCGATCACCCTCTCTCTCCCGTGTCTCTGCGGACATGGACGCAGATTTCGACATTGCTCATTATTGGGCTTTTATACCCTCTGGGACGCCCCTCTCCCGCCCCGTCACACTGGCCAAATACCGCTATGTAACGCCTCGTCCCCTCTTCCTTGAGGTGCGGTGACAGGCTCCGCTGGAATACGAATACTCTCCTCACCTTCTAGCATTCTGTGCTGGCCCGTTCATCGATTTACGCCCCATGGATCCGGAGCCGCTCCACATCCTGCTCGAGAGGGCTTCGTCGTCCAGTGAGAGGGATGAGGAGAATCGGGGGCCTAGCTTGGTGTTGACAGGGGTGCTTTTGTTGACGATTGCGACATTGGTGGTGAGTGGGAGGATTTATTGTCGGGCGGTGTTGATACGGAGGATGGGGCCTGATGACTGGTGCATGATATTTGCTACGGTATGTCCTTTCCGAAGAACGGGTGGGAAGGGGAATTGGCGGTTGTGGGTGTTGATGTGAAGGGAGGTTTAGATAATGGCGACGCCCATCGTGGTGATGAATTGTATTAGTAAGTGGCCGTCAGATGGTACAAATTGCGGAATTGAGAGCTGACGATAGACGCTTGTAGGTGTCGCAGGAGGCGTCGGCCACCACACCTGGACCACCGAGCGCTCTGGGGAGCAGCAAGCCATCATGGTATGCCATCATCGGCCCCCACATCCACGTTCCTTGACTTGCCAGTCCCAGTTGACTGACACCCCCGATAGCTTGGCTGGTTCTCGATGCTCCACTACTTTCTCGCCCTCGGCCTCACAAAATGCTCCCTTCTTCTCTTCCTCATCCGACTCGGTCCCGGAACGCCCCTCTGCTACACCTCATGGGGTATCCTCGTCTTTGTCACGCTGTATACGCTCATCGCCTTCGTTCTCTCTGCTATTCAATGTATGCCAGTATCGTATATGTGGGGCGCAGCTGCGGCGGGAAAGTGTATGGACAGGAAGACTATGGGTCTGGTGCTGTACTCGATTAGTATCGCAACGGATTTTGCCATTTGGGTGGTGCCGCTCAAGACGGTGTGGAGGATCAGGATGCCGACACGGCAGAAGGTAGCACTTATTGGTGTATTTTCGTTGGGGAGCTTGTGTGTGCCCTTCATCCATCTTTAAATCTTTGCTGTTGACACACGCTGACCATGATGAGCAGGAGTGTGTTGGCGGGTTTTTTGAGGTTGAGGAGTGTGATAAGGTCGTTTACCACGAAGGATCCGATGTATGATAATACGGATCTGGGGATATGGTCGCTGTGCGTCAACCGCTCTTTCTCTCGTCCTCACGTACACGCAGGTGGCTAATACTCAGTAGAGTCGAAGTACTGATAGGAATCATATGTGGCTCCGCGCCGGCGGTCAAGCCACTGTTCTCAAAGTTTCTTCCGGGCTTCTTGGGAAACTCTCAGATTACTCCACCGGAATTAATAGATAACGTTAATGGACAGAGAATACCTGGGCGGCGGTCATGGGGGGGTACGACGTATGCGTTGGGGTCGGTGGGGGGCGGGGCAGAGGGGGCGTCCACGGAGGGGTTCCGAGGAGCGGGGGAGACGGAGCCTATAGAGATTGAGGTTGAGCTGGAGCCGGTGGACCTGGGCGTTGCGGGAAAGAATTTGGAGGTGGAATTGGCAGACAGGGTGTAGTCATAGACTGGGTGGCAGTTAGGGGGGGTGGGTTCTGTTTTATTCTTCTTTTGTTCCTTCGTTGCTTGGGTTTCTTCTTCTTTTAGGGTGTGGGGGGGGGGGGGTGTTTATTTTAACTTCTTTAACTTTTCTTTACTCTTATTTCGTTTGATACATGGGGGGCTATGGGGTTACTTATGATGGGTGGTACCGTTTTGTTTATGACGTTCGATAGCTTCAGGTGCGGGGTGCGGACCGGTGCATGGGAAGGTGTTGGTTGGTTTGGGGTGTTTCGATTCTGGGTAGACTTTATATACATTTAGCGATAAATAATAAATAAATATTTTGAGACTTCTATCGTTGGTCCAGGAACGCTTCGTCTACTATTATCAACAAACATTTTCTCCCGGAACAGCTAGAGCAATATTAATCCTGCAATGAGATGAGAAAAAGTCCGTTAATACCAACGCGGTATTTCGTACCCGAAAGAATCCTTTCATCCGATCAAATGCGTCGATCCCTGGACCCATGGCGAACAAGGGTTTGGTGTAGATTACAGGGTTAGGGTTGAAACACAACGCATCACTCGACAGTAACTCAATATCGCAACAAGGTGGATAATTTACGGGCGGAGATAGAAGTAGTGGGATTTATGCACACCATTGGTTAAAAGGGAAGTTCAGCGGAGGCGGTGTATTAAGCTACCGGAAGTCGAGAGTTGGGAAATGGGTGAAGGAATCGGGGTGGCCGAGTGATGCTTCGTGACGGGATATGGTGACGTGTGGGAGGTGGATGGGGTCTCTGGGCATACGTGGGAATAGGAGGTTGTGGTGGCTTTGGACTACCGGGATAGCTGGGGGGTCGGAAGGAAGGGGTTAGTATATTCTGGGTGGATTCTAGATGTTATGATTGGTACGAGCGGGAGTGTACGTCCCAGGGGGTAGAGGATGAGGGCAGACCCCGCAATGGGTGATGGCTTATTAAGGTGAGCCCGGATAAGATAGACTGCCTTGAATTGGCGAACTCGGAGCAGTGTGAGGGCTGGGTTGGGTTCGGTACGGTGCGGGCGGATAGTTGCCTGGGCTACCCGCGGCCGAGTGATGGGATATGATCAAACGTATTGATGATTTAATTTGGTGTTAGAACTCTAAACCGCTGCCCCTTAAAAAGGCCTAACTTCGAGATGCACTAGTGAGCCCATTTATAACGTGGGTTGTTATCGATAAGGCTTCAACCCGCTATTGCGTACGGATAAGGGAAATCACCTAGGTAGACCCCTATATCACTAGCTAGGCTCACATTGTCATACATGTCATGAAGTTACACTACGTTTATATATGTCATACCAAAGACATCCTTAGATTGACTCAGATAGTATGTGAGATACAGTGAGACATGGGGTGCATATCACTTTATTTCTGACGACTGAACATCAGCACATCGAGGGATAGGTGCTTACCCGCGATGGGGACGCGGGAGCTGGGTTGTCTCGTGCCCGGTTTACGCTTTGATGGGTCGGGTTTGACTTTGAAGCACATGTTAAAGGTAAAGACTGCAGCTTCTCGAGTGACTCAGGCGGCTGCCTTGCGATGGGGCATGTGGTGGAGCAGCGAGAGCATGGCTCGGCCTTGGGAGTACATGATTTTGAGGTTACTAGTTGAATCGTCGAGTTTATCTGAGTAGCAATCGCAGAAATATCCAATCCATTGAAAGGGTTAGGCTTCCCCGAAAAGCAGCCTTGATAAAATAAAGTGGAAGAGAAGCGAGTAAAGGGAAACAGGAAAGGTAAGAAGGTGCGGAATCCTTTCAGATCATGTTTTCTGGTACATATCATCCGTACGGTCCTGAGTATGTAATATGGAGTGCTACCCAGTATTATGTATCCCGTCTAGGGTACATGCATGTATGTGGTAACGATAACTGCATTAGGAATTTCTGCGATTAGTAATCTAACATTAGGCTACACGTACACGTACATATGAAGTATCACCTAACAAAATGTGTGTTCGATATATAGATCTCATAGTCTAATTCTGCTCGGCAAATGGACAATTATAGTCAGCCTTGTGGAGAGTTAAAAACTTATCTGGAGCTTCGCCGTTGAGAGGTTTCCCATTTGATAAAGTAACCGTATATTACCGGTCTTGATATCATGTATTACCCCCGTCGACAGGTGTGTGTGATGGTATCCGTTTTCGGTCTGTAGTATTTGTAATATAGCTATGTTAGAGAGTAGCCTGGTGCTTGTAAGCCCGCAATATCCCCGGGATAGTCTGGGTGGAATTATAGACATATCGACCGAGCGCGGTAGGTAAATGCTACCGGTTTAATTAAGAGGACATGCTCACAGTTTGTCTACTCACAAAAAGCACTACTCTTTTCTTACGTTGAGATCATCCAGTTCCTCATGTCCTCTATCTTACTCAATGGCTACCAATTTAAAAATACAAATACAATCGATTAACTGAGTGATAAGCCAAGTAGTGGTTATAAGCAGTTGTGCGAGAGGCATGCATACAACGGGGGTGTTGATTTTCTGAGAGAAGTACTGCAGCTGCAAAGTAGTGCTTTTACTCGGGGAACATCCTTTTACAGTCTTCGGAATAATAACTGAGGAGATATCTCAGAGTCATGTGGCCCGGCGACAACCTTTCAAGATATATAAATCGGATATAATGCCCTTTCCTTCGCATTATTGATTGCGCGCGTCGTTTCTAATCAACCAAGATATTTAGGTAAGAATATTGCGTTCTCATATCCCATGGCCATGGCTCGTAGATACTGACATTTCTTTCGTGAGATGAAGCCGTAGAAAGATCTAGTATTGATAAGGGGTTTCAATCTATCCCTCCGAGCGATAGCCGCTGCTCAGCCTATTTCCCATGAGCACAGAAATCATGGAAGAAATCACTTCTCCTTGGGATACTATCAACGGTAATATCACAATCTGTGCCTATCCAGTCTCCGGAGCGTACGGGAACTCTCCGCGGTATCTTTACTTTTTCTGCCTCTTCGTGGGAACCGTCTGCCGCGGTGAGGAATGGATAGTCAAGGCAATGTTTGGCGGCGCCATGCTCTATAGTTCTATCACAGCCTTACACGCCCTCGCCATGATCTCCTACCCTGCCCCGCCGATAGGAGACCTAGACGCTATCCCCATGTACGCAATCGCCATGGTCGGTCTCTGCAACGCCCCCTACCTCATCTTCCACGCAAAGCTCTTCCGGGGTGCCCTTACGGGTACCCGTATCGTCGTGTATTCATGGCTTATCCTTATGATGGTGGGGAGCCTAGCGTCAGTCTGGAATGTGCGTCAGGTCAGTATGGCCGTGCAACCCTGCTCGGAGGTCATGTCATGGGGGCACAGGCACACAAGGTTGAATCAAAAGACTGATATGGTCACTCTCTCGGAATTTACTGTGTGGTGTCTTAATGAACAGGCAATAACGGGGTGGGTACCACCTCCGTTGATGCTGTGTATATGGGTGATTGGTGAGAGGAGAAGGATTAAGAAAATACAACGGGAGAAGGCACAGGAGAGGCGTCTCGAATCAGAAAGTACGCAGGGTCAGCAGGACGTTAACCTCGGACCAAACAACGGCGAGTATCGCATCCAGGTGCAGCCGACTTATGCTCCCATCGAGCAGATGACGACTGATGAGAAGATCAATCATACTGATAGCGAGGGTGGGGGTGATGAATGCCGTTGCTGTTGCGGCCATTGGGGCTGTAATTGTGACTATATGAGTACTTGGAAGAGTATCTGGTATTTCTTTCTCAGGTTTATGATGTACGTGGTGCCGTTTTTATGCTTGCTGTGGCAACTCTTCGTGATGTATATAATTCAACGGAGCATAGCAGAGCTTCCAATGCAGGAGGAGCTCGATGCCGTAGGTCAGTGGGGGCCATTAGCGGGGACGGTGATCATTGTGGCGGTGGCAGTGACCATGAGGTATGCACCAGGGGACCTTCGGCCTCAGAAAAGGGATGTGAAAGAAGGAGCGTATCCAAGCAAACTGCAGAGGAAACTTTGAGGATTTGGGTGAGGAGGTAATAGTCATTGTGCCAGGTTTATAACCGGGGTGGTTCTTAACTATAGCTTTGCGATTTTCGATTATCTCGATAATTTTTGCGGTGTATCTTGCCTTACATTGACATATTCAATGTATATCGTTAGAAATATACATGTAGTTTGTATTGCTTTTGGTGATATACCATCGCCTCTCGGTTCTTTAAATCTCCTCAAAAACCTTTTGGTTTACCGTTATACGAACTGAAATGAATAGTTTGATAAAGGTACACAAGTTTAAAATAGGACGAAATGAGAAGAAAAGAACTTCTTGCCTCTGGTTTCAGTTAAGCAATGGTCGATAACACGGTTTCTGGCCTCGACAGTGTCAAGGACGGTTACGTAGTAACATTGTACAATCGGATTGTTTCTTTTACTATCTTTCTCAAGCTCCAGCGCGGACGTAGCCGAAATCTTATATGTATCTTCTTCTTCTAGTGGCTCCAAGAGATCTGGACACCTATCACTGCCGGTGATGCATCACAAGCTATCACTCGGTTAAACCAAACCCATCCATTAAAGCCCGTTTTGCTAACTTGAAAAAGAATATTGACAGGCTCCAAGCAGTTTATTACACGGCGGTCATTAACAATATCTCGTGTACTTCTCTTACGAACTCAGATATAACAATACCTAATCCTTAACTGTCCTCTCCTGATTCTTAGTGGGATTCAATTTACGCCTGATCAATTTCATTCACAGGGGAATATACTTAGGAACTCTGGGATCTTTTGGAGCGAGGCCCGGGAAAAAGCTTTAACGGAGTAGGAAAGAATGGGTAGCCCAAAATAAAACTGTAGTGTATGAGCTTGTTTCTATTCAGAGTGGTCGTGCCATCAGGTACCAAAGGCATCTGAAATATTCACTCAAGGGTTCGTTCTCTAGAGGAGGGGCAATCTTTCTTGATTGCTTTTGTTGCTTTAGAGGCGCTAGTTTCTTCTGCAGGTCCACCATTGCCGCCATTCTTTATGGCTCGTGTACCTTTTTCGTGATCGCAGGATCATCAAAGATCACTCGGCAGGGCTTGCTGAGAGTTATTGATAAAAATAACAAGAGCGCAAGAGCTCTCGACAAATTGATTATCCTCATACCTTGTCAACAATTGTGTACGAGAGCACAGGTTTCCATCTATCCGGGAGTGGCTAGCGGTACAAGAAAAGAACTTTGGTACAAGGGTTAGGGTTGTTGTTCAACGCTAAATAGCCTAGGATTATGCGGCGGAGTTGGATGATTTAAACCACATGTAGTTAAACCGTCAAGCGATAAGGTGAATCTGTACATTGCACTAAGTCTCTTTCAACTTTCACTACATGTACATAACTTTTGAACCTTGCATTGTTGAGCGCTGAACCCGCCTTACTACATAACCTTAAATACTTGTGCTAGTTTTCCCTTTTGCAATTTGGTATTAATGTTCCTTGGCGCGGCTAAAGAATTTGACGGAAACCTCTCGATCTCACCTCCACGGAACCCCGCCCTCACTAAAACAGATGTTCATCCGTTGATAAAGTGTTTCCCTGTGAGGCGAGTATACAAGAAGGCGAGAATTTACCTACAAATATTCCTTAGCTATAGGTTTATTACCAATTGTAACCTTTACATGGTGAAGGTCCTATCTGCTTGGTAATATATACTGTGACGAGAATGAGTTCAGAAGGCGTTTACCTAGAGCAACAAGCGTAAGCTTAAGGGCGACTACCAAGAGCACATGCACAGGCTTCCGCAAAAAAAAGGTCAGCCGCAACTTTATTTCGCGCCCACACAGATGCAAGTATGTCTCGCCTTGCATGTTTCATCCCTACAAATCGACGATCTGGCAAGAGATTGCCGCACACTTGGTTCGATTTCAAATCGAACCACTATGTGAGGCTCCAATCATGATATGTTTCCTTTTCTTTTTTGTGCTCAAGGCAGCGCGGGGCGGCGCAAGACGGCGCTTGCCAACACTCAAAAGATATCATGGAGGTGCATATATAGGCAATGTCAGTATCCGCTCTTATGCCAGATTTTATTCTTCACCTTTTCAAAAGAATCTCAGATGATACCAATGGATCTATTACCGGCTGCCACTCATGTCCAAGACTACCGCCCACAACACGAGTGTTGGCGAATCCAGAATATCCCCACCTCTTGGAGCGTAACCAAGCTCCTACGGATGCTACAAAAGCAAGATGAGTCCCTCGGTAACCTGGAAGAACAGTGCATCTCCCTCTACCCGTCCTACACTCGTAGCTCACAAACGGCGTTGCTGAGCATGAAGCCGTTGCCCCAGTACTTTCAAGAGCTGGATCCTGACGAGTCACATGTCCTCATACTAGAGGAGATACCTGAGGCGGGGAGCAGGCGGGAGGATGTTTTCCTAAGTCTAGATTGCCATTTTCGTGGGCTAACTCCGCTGAATGTGCCAATTGGAGACAACCTAGTCGAGTGAGTATTGTTTCTCTCGGGAATTTGATGTTGATGGAGGAGGCTGATCAGAGAATCTGGGGTCTAGCATTGTAGCAGTAACAGGCCTTGGCGGACATGCCTTTGAGTCGTGGCAAAGCCGGCAGAGCGACCAGATGTGGCTGAAAGACTTTCTCCCTTGCAGCATCCCCGAGAACATCCGTATTCTGACGTACGGCTACAACTCCAGCCTTACCAAGCCGGGGAAACGTTCAATGGTCGATTACCGGCGGGGTTTTGTGCAGGTCCTGTCAAACGCGCGGTCAGCAGCGGAGGTGAGTACATGTAGCTACATATAGCCAGCTACATATTGTAGTCCATCATATAAAATATTTGCATTACCGTTGGGAGAGATCTGATCTCGGAGGTCCGTACTTAGGAACGCGCAAGACCTCTAATTTTCATAGGGCATAGTCTAGGCTGCATTCTGATTGCGCAGGTAAGGGATCACGGCGGTGTACAATCTTCGGAATCTGGAGTTGTCTGACAGTAGATTAGGCACTACTTCAGGCGCAGAACAACCGCTCGGACAGCCATATTCTTGACAGCACACGTGTTGCATTTCTCTTTGGCGCACCACATGGAGGACAAAAGGTGGATGACCTCGTCTCAATGGTTAAAGACATCACCTCGTCATCGTCCTCTAGCCAGCAGTCCAGAAGACTTCGACTGCTCGAGCATCTCCGCGAGGACTCCGATTTCCTGGACGACCAGAGAGAAAGGTTGATCTCTATCTGGGAGAAGATGAAGATAATCAGTTTTTATGAAAAACGAGATACCAAGACTGTTAAGAAGGTATAATTCATTCTACCTCCGCAGGAAGGAGCTGAAAGAGCTAGAGGCTGATATGTGCTTTATTTAGAATGTGGCTGGGGAGTGGGAGAGGACGGGAGGGGCGGCGCGCTTAGTCCAGGGTTTCTCATCATTATTGTACTTGAAGCAAGAGTCCCGGTACGCAATCGATGAAGACCATATCAATATGGTCAGGTTCGTGCTGCCCACGGATAAGCACTATGAGTGTGTGGTTCGCCATATACAGGAATGCGTGGAAAGCCACTGCAAGTCTCGCAAGTCACCACTCTCCTGACGGCATACGGACTCGGATTTACTAACGTCACAACCATATTGAACAGTCCAAGGTAAGAATGAGCAGCCGCAGCATCACAGGAATGGCCTAATTCTGGAAATTTGAGAAATAGGGCTAATTGGGAATCAGGAAACAAAGATTCCAAAGAATTATTAGGTACTCTCGTTCCGTTTTCATACGGAAAGATCCGTGATGATACATTGGACCAAGCCCACGGCGACAAATGTCAATTCCACTTTCAACCTGATGGATGCGGGGGTGTTGGGGAGCGATCGGCATCAAAGCCTCTCTGGATTTCCGACGACCCTGGTAGCGGTAGTACTGTGTTGATGTCTTTTGTGACTAATGAATCGGTCAACCTCCGTCAGGAGCATGCCTGACATGTATGCGCTTACTCACCCGCTTGGAAGAGAGAGCCGCATGGTGTAATTATTGGTACGCCTTCTTATCGGCTTTTCGGGGATGGAGTGGACTGTCGATGTGGGTCAGGACCCCGATGGGCGCTGGGTAGTTCCTCATTAGAGATGCTTTCCAGTTTGATTATATACTGTCTGACTCGGGGTTGTTGTGGTCTGGAAAAATGGAGGTACATGTAGGTCTCAACGAGAGTAGTTTGGAAAGCTAGGGGGCAGTTTGATACTTACATCTTAAACTGTCCCGTTCCGTAGGTGGTGTGTCTTTAGCTTCCCTAGTGCTAAATAGTTTATGTATAATGTTATTTATTCAAACGCCTATTCATCAACTACTGAGATTGATCTCATATCAAGACGTTATAGGTTGTTCCGGGGAAGGATTTCTAGTATCCTGGGTTGAAAGTAAAGAGGCCGGAATCTTTGATCCGTATTTATTCCAGAGATTTACAGTTATGCGGACGTCGACATGTATCATCCCGATTAAACCTCGCTATTTCTGCTCGCACGAGCTGGAGAGAGCCATATTTATGCCTTTCAGCGACTGAGGTAAGTGCCTGCAGTTACTCTAGCACATAATGGGAGTAAGCGCGAGAGGAAACAAGGCATACTGCTCGACTTATATATGGAAATTCTACTCGCTTGAGCTGGGTGCTCCGCTGTTAAAGATATGGTAATAGTCAGGGTTAGGGTTGAAGCTGACCACCGTCATACTTCGAACATAAACAAAGGATAAAGGGAGTGATAAGTAGAAATGGAGCCGAAACAAGAATATATATGTTCTTACAAGGAACTGAGAGCTTAGAATAATTGGGAGAAAGAAAGGCGTATAATACTAGAGCTCTCTAACCCTAGTATAGAATATATGGTGCTGGTCGCGATAACCATGCCGAGATTCGACTCCAACATGCCATCCACGCCGACCCTATGACACACGCAAGGGTTTTGGGTGCAGAAAGTTTCAAAACATACATTAGATGGCCCATATGATTCTCTAGGGATTGGTTGTTTTGAATTCTTAACCAACTTCATTTTAATACCTCCCGTTGATGTAGCTATTGGTGTAGACGTGCGGAGAGGAACCCCCGCGTGGAAAATATAACTAGCCCGTACAAAACTCAAACTCTCCTCCTCTGGATCTATGGAGAGAATTCTGTTTCTCTCTTCCGGCGGATCACAGGAGGATGATTGAATATAAGTTGGAGAAGGCAGTAAAACACGATCTTCGTTCATGTACGGCGAGCTTTCCATTTCGGTCTAGCAGAGACTGAAATACCGCGATTAGCTATGGCTAATGTTTGAGGGAATCATTCAATAAAAGACGCGGACTCTTTCTTATATACTTTATACCAGGTGTAGCGTCTTGTTCATCTTTATAGAGGTAAAGAGAGCGGGGCCGTGCCGTCTTTGTAAGGTTTATATTTCTCTTACAGTGCATTTTCTGATATTCTAGCGGGCTTATACCTTTTGTTGTAAGGGTTATATTTCTAGTACAGTATCATCTCTAGCAGGTCAGCTAGTCCGCGTCTCTATTTCCAAAAATAATAGTTCCCGCCCAGCGCCTCCTCTAACAGACGGATCTAGAGGACTTCACTACCTTGATTACTACTTTAGCCAGTGGATTTAATTAGGTTGTGTCTTCAAATCCCAATTACAGTTATTCTCATTCTCTCAAATCGAATCCCAATTGCAACTGCAAATCGGTTTATCGAAACACAACTAATTTATCATGACACCTACTAAATATAGTGTCCTTGACCCAAAACTGTCAAACGTGAAAGGTATTAAGACGATCCTAGCAGTATCGGTCGCTGCGCAAGGCGAATTATCTCTCTGCAACCCGATTTCCTAGCACAAAAAGGGCGTTTTCGTGAAGAGATTGAGAAGAGGGGCCATAAAATCCTCTTCTACCCAAAGTCCTCAAAGTTTCATCGTGAGCTAGATTGGGTCGAGTATTATTGGGGGCCATCAAAGAGATATGCTAGAGATAATGCGTTTACCGCGACCAGCCCCATAGCAGGACCTGTTTGTTGAGCACTAGTGGTAAGCGCTTAGTAATACGATTTTGGTGTATGTAGCTGATAGCCGAAGCAGAGGCTAGTGAAAACATAGGATTTAGATGCTTCTGCTGGTTGTTCATCATCACGCTCATACTCGTGTCGTCGTGATCACAACAGCCGGCCAACAACGTGCATGGCGCCTGGGCTTAGACTTGAAATGTTCCGGTAATTTGTCTCTGCTCGTGCCAAGGCGTGAAGATCGAGATTCAACTTACAGAGAGAGCACACAGTACATTTTCCGGAGAATATATTGCTTGATGAAGGTTAGACGTTAGAGGATGGAGCGAGTCCTTTCTTCATCAACAACCAGAGACCTAAGGAGAATCATCCACGAGAGAAAGCGCAACTATGGTGCGCACACTCTTAAAGGTGATGGGGTGGCATACGGAAGATACAGAAGTGGAACAATTGTGGCTGCAATATGGCCTCATGGGCCAATAAGAGGGCCCATTTCTAGCCTTCTGCTGCATCACTGCCATGGCCTGATCAGGTTTGCTTCTTTAAGGGTATAAATGGGTATAATACTGTTCCACTTTGTTTAGTCTTGGCGCTTTTTACATACTAAAATACCGAATTTCAAGCTTGAATAACTTTTTAACCAGGAGAGATATCAAAAATCTGGTTGGTAAAGTTCTTCTTCATCACTAGTACTTCAATTTTACCAACCGGATTTTTCATAATTTGTTTCGTTGGAAAGTTATTCAACCTCGACCTCGCCCCAATTTTTTGACTACCTTTATGATTGGGCGCACCATACATGTAACTTCCGTGAGGATTAGAATTACGTCACTTCAACTCACTCCATTGGACGCTGTAGCAGTTCTTGGCACCAGTCAAAAGATCCAGTTTCCTTGGCAACAAGGCGGGGCCGGGGACTTGAGCGGTCATCACTCTCAGATGGATTGCCTTCTGTAGTTTGGTATCGTGAAATCAATCTTCAACATGGCTGACCCGCTTTCCATTGCTGGCTCTGTTGCTGGGCTTTTAGGTATCGGGCTAAAGGTATCTCACGCCCTAGGAGCGACGATCAATGGTACAAAGTCAGCACCTCAAAGTGTTAACTCCCTGAGTCGGGAGTTGAGCGCCTTGTGTGTGACGTTGGGAAGCCTGGAACGCATTCTGAGTCTAAATAACCTCTCCAAATACCCACAGTTCCCCAAGGTTGATCTTTCAAATGTCTTGGATACGATGATGTCAGACTTTATACAATTACAAGTCACAATAAGAACGTTTACCGATATGCACACCGATGGCTTCGCACTTAAGATGTGGAAGCGGCTAACGTGGGTATTTCGTGAGGGTGCGGTGCTGGGCTTGAGGAATAATTTAGAAGCCTACAAGTCTACCATTCTTATGACAATTACAGCAGTAACATTGTATTTTTACCTTCAATCCTGTCCACATCTCATATTTACAAAGACTGACCCTCATATCTAGAGTCACTTCAAGTGTTACAGCTGGAGACATGTCAGACCTACCGGCCCAGCTTAAGGAGCTGAGTGAAAGGATAGAAAGTTGTATGAAAAAATGCGTCGAACTCTCCAATGCCCGTACTTCTTCAACCAGAACTTCTGCGGGGTCACTCTCCCACATATATTCGGTCGAGGGTCGCGAGAGTATAGCGTCAGATATCTCAGCGCTTCCGGGAAGCAGAGTATCCGTCCTACTGAATGCAAATGACAGAATGTCTATTCAAAGCGCGAGGAGCTCTAGCACTACTGGATCTGGTCTATATAGCTATCGAGCGGCATCAATTATAGAGATATATACCTCTAGTATACGAGAAATGAGCAGTTCAAGTATAATAGACTTGAATGTAACACTCCACGAGGCTCGATCGACCCCATATAGTAGTGCTCTTGATACGATCGCAATTGGGGGACGGACATCTGCGAGTGCTGAGTCACCATACCATACCGACCATACCTACCACCAGCTACCCAGCCAGCCAGCCAGCCATGACCACCCCCGTCCCCCTCCCCTTCTCCGAACCCGCCTACCTCACCGGCGCCCCAAACCCCTACTACACCCCCTCACACCTCAAATGTCAGAAAGCCTGCCGCGACTTCATCACGGCCAACCTAACCGCGCACGCGCTCGAGTGGGAGCGCGAAATGGATTTGATGACGAAGTTGCAAAGAAATTGAAACGTTTAGCTATGCTAAACTATACGAATATAACAGACCGCGATGAAACACTTGATGGCATCAAACCGACACTTCGTGGATGCGGTAGTCTTGATACATTGGTTCCTCTCGACCAGACACGATCGGCTCGTGATACACTCAAGTTGGATCTGGCCCGTCAACTAGATATAAAAGCTGAAGGTATGCACTAAGCGCGATACACAATGCAAGCTCGTTTTCTTACGTGTTATGGGCCTCTCCGTGCTGTCTAGATATCAGAAACAAGTATACTGGGGTTCCGGTGTTTCCTTGGCCACCCGCCCAAATACTATTCGACATTGCAATAGTAACCGAGTTGAAATCTATAAGGCATGACAATGTTTTGAGAGTGCTCCGGGACAAGGAAAAGCTCCCCCACATCGCCTTGGAATATTTAATCGAGCTCGACGAGGAAACAGACGATAAGGATCATGAGATAGTTTTCTTTCGGTTCGTCGGGTGCGCACTTCAGGCGCTCATAGGAGAGGCCAAAGCACGCTCGAGTAATGCCACTTTTTTGGAATATGTGATCGAGTATGACGAGAGACAGAGGGAGGAACGGAAATCAACGTTGTCCGATGTGCTCCGTAGAATGGAAGAGGGAGGTGATGAGATCGGCTTGAAATCACTAGAGATGCTATATAAAGCACAACGAGAGCGGAGGGAGTGTGATCTTGGCCATTGGTTAGATGTACTTCTGGGAGACTCTATTTTATTGAACCCTGACTCTACTGACAATGCAAGTGAATCAATTGATGCAATACTCGCCAAAGCGAGTTGAGTCGATAAATCAATTAATTCATTTGCAGGGACATCGTTATTAGATGACACCAGTGATTAATTTACAGACTCAAAGGCTGCATTTACGGGGTATCTTTTTGTAATAGTTTAAATTATATGGAGAGGCGTCCCTCTTGGTCCATGGTCTCTCATCAGGTACGCTTTCTTATAGGCTAATGGGGGATGGAGTGGACCGTCGATGTGGGTTAGAAATGTGGGTTAGGACCCCGATAGGCGCTGGGTAGTTCCACATCAGAGATGTCGTCTGGCTTAATTCTGTCCCGCCTGAATCGGGGTCTGTTGTGGTCTGGAAAAGTGGAGGTGTAGGTCGCAACAAGAATAGGTTTGGAAGGTACAAGTAGGGGACAGTTCAATACTTGCTCCTTGAACTGTTTCATTGCTAGTTGGTGTGTCTCTAGTTCGCCTAGTGCTAAATAGTTTATGTGTAAAGTCTTTATTCAAACACCTATTCATTGATTAATGATCTTAATCTAGAGTCATAGATTCTTCCGGGGAAGGCCTTCAGAATCTTGGGTTAAGGGTAAGGGGGTTAGAATATTTGACCCGTATTTATTACAGAGCTTTCTATGGGTACGGCATGTAGCAACCTAATTTAAATCCCCCAATTTCCTCCCGCACGACGTGAATACCAGCAGAAAGATAAGCGAGATGTAGCTTCTTGTCACTGCAGCTCGACTTGTAGAAACTGGAGTTGCTCGAGCTGGGTGCTCCGAGCATACACATATAGGTGTGCAGCTACGGTGGCTAGGGTTAGGATTGAACCCGACCGCACCATACTCACCGAACTGTACTGAACTGAACTGAATAAAAATGGCCTACAACTGGACCGACCGAATAAGAACCGGTTTATGCCACACAACCGTTCTGAGGTCTTGGCATTAGTATATGTAGCAGGAACTCTAAACCAAAGGTGTTTAGGGTTAGGGTCTCCTCTAAACAGCTCATGCTTTGCATGAGGAGTTCCAGCTGCATACAAAACCGGTTTTGCCCAAGCCAAGAACTCAACCGAACCAAAATGTAGTGAACTGGTTTTTTAAACGGTTCTAGAAAACTGGTTTTAACTGGTAAACTGAAGAACCGTTGGAATCACAGTTCTATTAAGAAGAAGGTGGGTAAGGAGAAATGAAGCTGAAAGCAGAACTCGAATATATCGCGTATAGACGCTGGCGGGGTGGGAATAAGTGGCTTAAAAGGCTTGAGCTCTTCATGCGAGGATTAGCCTCGTGATTTCGCATAGCGACCAGCAGAAATAGCCCAAATTACTAGATAATTCACAAAGTCGGTAATCGGGATTCATACCTAGCGCGAAGTTATGTTCTATCAATCTTCAGCTTTCCAATCCCTTAACTGATGAACGATATTGTATTTATCAGATACCAAATGAAATCCAATGGTTTGGGCAGGTGACTGTTATAGAAAGCTCATATCACCACTATAATACTACAGCTTGAATTTCGCCCCCTCTTCCCGACTAGTAGTGCAGTCACGGAATGTCATCTGACGCATGATGCATATGTGTCCTGCCTGTTATTAAACCTTTTCAAGCTCAACCTTAATACCGTCAATTGTCACCGGTAGCCGTTAATGGATTACGGGGCCGGATAGCTTACTCAATCTCACCCCCCCATTCATGAACTTACCACCCCGCCCGGCGAGCGTTTACTGAACTATCCTTGTATGGGCGGCCGGCGTTCCCGAACAGGCCAGCGCAACGCTCCTTGGACACCCAGCGACATAGTTCTTCAGGTTTCAGGATCTGCCGACTGTGTAGAATGTCAGACCAACCGTTCTCTACTAGCGTCCAGAACATAGTTCCCTTTCAAATCAATCTTTCATCACTTCTGTAAGAATCTGCATCATGGGAAATCACTCGGTAGATTGACCAATCGGAATGCGGGATTATTGATCTGGCGTTTAATATCGGCTACAGACTCTCAAGACTCATATGTTCTGAGACAGATGGAGTTAGAGCTATGTTAATCTCCGCGCTGTACTAGATTTTTATTTGACCCGTGTGGTTATCTGGAAAGGGTGGTTTAGATATATATCTGGCCCGTATTCCTATGTACAGATCACAGATACATTCTCGCTTTCTCAAAAACATCCACAACATGCTCTTTAAACGCAGCGGCGGATAGCTTCAAAGAGGCACCCTGTACCTGGTCCTCATCGGCAGCTTGCAGACAGAACAAAACAGCCTCCAAGTACCGCTTTCCCATAATGTGCCCCAGCCTGCTGCGTGCCTGCCGAATCAAGTTCTCCTTCATCTCCGCCGGCCTGAGCTTCTTCTCCAGAGAGAGCTCCTTCATCTCCGCAGGCTTGAGCTTCTTCTCCTGATAGAGCTCCGGCGAGGTTGCATCCATCCACAGTCCAATCTCCAGGAGCAGCACGCCGAGCGAGTACAGATCGTGCACGACCTGATGTGGCTTTGCCGTATTTCCCTGACGGTCCGGGTGGCGGTATATGTTCGTTCGAATGCCTCTTCGGAACACCCTGTCCGAGGCCACCGAGCCTTGGAATTGGGGCCGCGAATACTCAAAACCACCTATGCGGGGGGACGAGAAGTCACAGCGCTTCTGCCGGTGTGGACGGAAGAGGTATATGTTCTCGCCGCTGATTCCCTTATGCACCCATTCTATAAGGTGCCATTCCATGAGGCCGTACGAAATTGCGTAGGCCATACCAAAGCGCTCTCCAAGGGTTGGACGTTCATCGGATTCTAGTTTCGCGATGGCGTCGAGCAGGGAGAAAGGTCTTCCCGAATAGCCATGCGGTACCTGAAACGCAAGTCCGTATCGCCGTTTCTCGGGTTCGTGGAAGTAGCCCAGGCAGGCGAGGCTGGTTATTGGGCTCGCCGAGGAAACGTGGTCGTTTTCAACGCTAAACAGCCGGGCGAGGAACTGGATCCTCTCTCTGATGTCGTCCCCGTCGGTGTGGTAGTGCTGTGAGCTGTATCCTTTGAACTCGATCAAGCATTTCAGTCCCTTCACGGAGGCACACGAGTAAGTCCGCTCCGTCGGCTGAGGACCCTCCTTTTTAGTGGGTCGCTTCGGTGCGTTGAAAATGATCTCTCCGCAATCGAGATTGAGTGCCGAGGTGGATTGGCGGGGATCAAGAATCATCATTCGCCTGGTTGTCAGGGTCGAAAAGCCCAGGCGATGTGCGTCCTCATCGAGATCCTTGGTCTGGCCGTAGTCCTCGGCGGAGTATAGTAGAAGAGCCCACTTGATTATCTCAGACAGCATATCCGTCCATGTTTTATGCTCGTTGACAATAGCCTCCAACCTCTGCCGGTCAAAGAGTGCCCACTGGACCTTCGACATCTTTTTCCGGAGTCGTTCCACCACGCCTCCCCCTCCTCTTACTGACGGCGCTGGCGGAGACGACGAGTATATCGTCTCTTGCCGTAAATGCGTGGGATCCGTACATTCGCACGGTCCATCAGACCCTCCATCGTCCCCCTGCCGAGTGTATTTTGTAAAGAGGTTCTGATATAGCTGGGCAGAGCTCTTTAGTCGCTGTAGGAGCTCGCTGATCTGGCGGAGGTTAGTGCTGTCGAGTTTGTAGATGATCCGGCCTTTGATAAAGCGTGTGCCAAAGGTCTGGAGGATGGAGTGTTGGTGGGTGAACTTGAAGGCGATGTCGCCGAGGTCTTTCTCCTGGTTGCGTGCGTCGTCGATCACTTGGCTAATAAACATGTACAGGTCGTAGACCTCGTGGAATACTGTGATGGTAAGGCCTGCCACTTCCATAGTTGTTTAAAAATAACGCAGAGCACGCCGGTCACCTTCGAGGGGGTTTGGGTACGGGGGTGTTCAGCTACGTTATGTACAAGCGGGGTTTTCCACAGCAGAGCCTTGTAGCTGCACGAGTCGAAGCACTTTGACAAAAGGTCCTGCACATGCACATCATACTTCCTAAACGAGCCAGCCTTTCTGTCTGACCCGCTCGACTTTCTGTTCAACTCATGTTGCAAAGCTCTCCAGCGCGGTGGTTCCCACATACCCGAGTGGTTGGTTAGGTTTGCGACAGCCAATGATTCTTCGAGCCCCTGCCAACACCTCCCTCGAATGGGGCTGTGCATAGCACTGCAACGTAATCTGCGGCTGAGATCAGGCTTGGCATGTTGGAGATTTTGACCCTGATGCGTGTCAGTAAGTAATATTATTAATATCAGACAATGCAATAGTCCATTGGGGGAAACTAGTTTCTAAGTAGGGAAACCAATACTTCAATAGATACGTGAATGTGCATATGTCGCCTGAGGAAAGGATTTATAAACCGAATGGTGAATTCGCATTAATACTTTGCTTGATCATGGGCATACTAACTACATATAGGTTTCTAGTCTTTCTTAATTGGATTCTTTGTATACATACATATGTACGTAGAGTATAAAGAGTAAAGATATATTTCTCAGACTTTACGTTATCTCAAGACTCGAGTTTATATAGCCACGAATTACCGGATTAAACCGGACCCGATTCTTAGATTGAAGGGTATTTCTCGAAGTGACAGCTTCAAAGAGCGGACAGGACTGCAATGCCTGTCCGGTCGGTATCTCAGGATATACTGACACATGCACGAACGCTGGTTCAATGGAATCATACTGAACCTCGTTGTATCCTTGTTTTTTTGCCTTATGTTTCACTCTCGCTGTTGGTCTTGACCATTATATATCGGGTGCTTTCATCAATTCAGCTACGCCTACAGATTACATCATAGATACATTCTCGCTTTCTCAAAACCATCAACAAGACTCCCTTCAACACCATCAGCGGATGGCCTCAAAACCCCCTGTACATACTGCAGATGGGAGAAGACCATGGTCAGGCCGTAGCTCTTGCCTATAATAGCTCCCACGATACTAACTGCCTGCATTTTCAAGATATTGACGATCTCCGCCGACGTGAGCTCGTTCTCCTCAAAGAGCTCCGACGGGAGGGCCTTCGTCAAATGCGAAATGATCAGGAGCGGTACGGCGCACGTGAACAGATCGTAGATATCCCGATGGAGCTGCATCGTGTCTCCCGGGCTTTCTGGGTTCCGATAAAGCATCAGGAGCAGCCTAGTGCACGTAAACAGATTGCCCTCGTCCTTAAGGAGCTTTGCCGCGTTTCCCTGCCGGTCCAGGTAGCGATGTATGCTTTCCCGATCATTTTCAGGGGCGAAAAATGTACGGATGATAATCGGTAGGGCTGATAGTGCAGGTGTGGCCGATATTTCCTCCTCATTATGTAGGTGTTCAGAGGTCGTCCTTAGCAGAAGTGTTAGAGTTGACAGTTCTGATGGTGCAGCATCTGAGGAAGTGGTAATGAGCGTTGTGATGGCGTGGGATCACGGGAAATAATCATAGACGGTTGACTAATAGCATAAACGCTATCCATATATTCCTCAATAATCTACATTGCTTCATATGTGTACTGGCTAGACCCTGGACTGAGGTGACCTTGAGCCGATTGATAACTTTGAATTGAGGTCGCATAACCGGGCCCATCACTAGGACCTAGCGTTCCATCTCTCATATCGCTCAGCCAAAGATCGCTCCGGTTGTGTTTCGTTATGGTTGAGCTTCTTCTCCGTACACGTGAGGTAATCCTTGACATGGTTGACCCATAAATAATCATCTCTGGGCCCTCCGTCCCCCGAGAGTATTGGGACGTCATAAATTGCTTCAGTTGTTCCGATAATACTTGGAAGTTGTCCGATACGGTATTAGTGGTGGCTCTAGCAGAGTTTTGAGTTATCATTATGAGCATACTTAATCTTATTATAGAGTGGAAACGTACAATGTAGCGACCGATATCATCATAAAAATTGTAGTTTTGTATTCTTCCAGGTTCTTTCGAAGACTTCGTATATCATCCCCACGAGAAATCCCCATGAGGAACAGGGTATATGGAATAGGTAAGGGGAAGGAGGTTAAACGCTTAACTATCTGTATCAGTATTTACCTCACTCGAATTTCAGGCCTACCATGCGATGATTGGTCCACGTCTCGTTGTTGCGCACATTCCATGGATGAACGGGAGGATCCCGCTTTCAGCACTCAGCCTTAGAACCACTGACCTTCGAGATCATAATACATCAGGAGGAGAACCAAGCATTTAGGATCACTAAAACGAAGCCTGATGTACAGCGAGTGAACAATGAAAGTGATAGTCATGACGCGTTATCAAGATCACCCACTATCACTCGCTCTACCACGGCAGAAAATGCATCATTTGATGCATTACTCATAGATTTATAATCCATTAAATACACCGATTGATGCATATCACGTCGAGGGCTCTGTTTAATCGTCGGTTGAACAATTTTACTGACGAATAAAATTGTGGGTAAAATTGTAAGGAAAGTCGTCTATACTACATGTAGCTAGCAAAGTAAATGAATCAGGAAAGGTATCAGAAAAGTCGTTGTTTAATGTACTATCTGGTACTATTAGTGTATAAGGTACCTTACCGTCGACACGCATACAATTTTGAGCCTTATTCAGTCGGCTTATCCAGAACGTAGGCTTACAATAGTCTTATCAGAACAAAAATCCTTTTCTAAGCCTTATTTCGTCCTTAAATCATGCTTAAATAACACTTACCTGAACCTTATTGTATTCATAAGGCTATTGTGAGCCTACGTTCTGGATAAGCCTACCCAATAAGGCTCAAAATTCTATCCGTGTCGACGGTAAGGTAATGAATCAGGAAATGTATCCCGAGCACAATTGTAAGTGAACGACTTTTCCAGACGACTTTACAGACGGCCTTTTAGTTAGAAATGTGTAGGGAAAGTGGTCACTAGATGCATTTACTTCACTAGTACATGTATCGAGCATAGTACTGTACTTTAAATAAATATTATGGCGTAAGTGATAATCTCTAGGTTGGATACTCGGAACTATAGGAGTTCAATCCCGCCCATCGGCACGAGATATATATCGTGGAAAGTTGTCCTTAAAGTCGTCTGGGAAGTCATCTGGAAAGTCGTTCACTTACAATTGTGCTCGAAATACAATTCCTGATTCATTACCTGATACATTACCTGATACCTTCATATTACCGGATAGTACATTAAACAACGACCTTCCCGACACATTTCCTAAGTCATTTACCTTGCTGGTCGAGCCATAGCTGATGCATAACGTGGGATTGGGACGCAGTACTTGATGCATTATTTTAGGACCTAGACTCGATGCATTTACTGACGATTTTCACTGGTGCATTTTCTACCGTGGTAGAGCTTTGAAACAAGGCCCTGCATGCACAATATGCACATCTTATTGGTCGGGGGATTAAAAGTCCCTTCATAAACGAGCTAGCGCTTAATTCGATCTGTCCAACTTGCTCGACTCTCTGTTAGACTCGAGCAGTTAAGATGTTGCGAAGCTCTCCAGGGCGATAGTTCCCACAGATATGGTTCCATGGGATCCGGGAGAGACTGGCATTTCCCACAAAAGTCATTACCCGAGTGCTTGGTTAGGTTTGCGACGGCCAATGATTCATCAGCTCTTTCGGCTAGGCTTCCATCAAGGCAAGAATGTAATTATCCCTGTCAACACCTGTCTCGAATGTGCTAGCACTTCCGCGTCCTGCGGCTGACAGCAGGCTTGGCACAGAGTTAACTCCAAGACGTTTTGACCTACACTGATGTCATTGCTCGGAATATATATCAATGTCAGTACTTCCTATCTTAATTGAATCCTTTCTATATGTACATGTACTCATGCATTAATTAAAAGGTCGGAATTCTGTATGAGTATTTGATTACAACAACCTCCGACCCATTAATTAACGAGCGAGTATAAAGAATAAAACATCTGCCAGACTTCATTTTATCTCAAGACTCGAATATAGCCGTCAATTACCGGATTAAAGCGGACCCGGTTCTTAGATTGAAAGGTGTTTCTCGAGGTGACAGCTTCGAAGAGTACAGCTTCGAAGAGTACAGACAGTTGGCGAGCGCGAGCGGACAGGAGTGCAGTACTTGTCCGGCCTATATATATCCCATGGTATACTGGCGCACGAACGCTGGTTGAATGAAATCGTACTGAGCCTCGTTGTATCGTTACTTCTTTTCCTTCTGTTTCAACTGTGGCGGTTGGTCTTTATTGTTATATAGTGCGTTCATGAATTCAGCTACGCCTACTTGTGCAGGTCACATCATAGATACATTGTATCACATTATTTGTCTGTCAAAACCATGAATAATTTAAACATAGGAGCGGGAACCAGCTTCGAACAAAACTTCAGTGCAACATCCGAAGCGTGCAGAGCGAACAAAAGCGCTTCCATGGTCGTCTTACCCATAATGGGTCCCAGACTACGTGCCTGCGGAATCAATATCTTCTTCAACTCTGCTGGCATAAGACTCTTCTCCTGAAGGAGCTCCGACGGGATAGCCCCCAAAGTACCACATTATCCCGAGTAGTATAGCGCACATTTCCAGATGGCGAATGTCATGGACGATCTTCTCAGTGAGTCCCTGACTTCTCGAGTTCTGGTAAGTCATCCGGAGCAGCACCATGCACGTGCACGCGCGGAGCTGCCGAATGGGTGTGTTTACATGAGGCTCCAGCTCTGATGGTGCCGCATCCGAGGAAGCGGCGTTATCCGAGGGTACATGGAGGGAATCCACAGACGATTGACTAATGACACAGATGCTATCCACATATATATCAATAATCGACATTGCTTTTTACGTGTACTGGCCGGCCGGACCTTGAACTGAGTTGACTGTGGACCGATCGATTGCTGCAAACTGAAGCCGCATAGCCGGGCCCATCGCTAGGGCCTGACGTTTCGCTTCTATTACCGCTCAGCGAAAGATCGCTCTGGCCGGGTGTCGTGACGGTTGAGCTTCGTCTCCGTAAAGTAATCCCTGACATAGTTGACGTATATATGGTTTTCTTTGGGCTCTGGGTCTCCGTCTCCCGAGGGCTTCGAGTCATGCATTGCCCAAGACGTTCGGATAGTTGTCGGAGCTCAGTTCTCAGGGCTTGGATTTCCTCCGATGTGGCAGTTGTGGTAAGTCTATCCGAGTTTTGGGTCAACATTATCAGCATATTTATCTAATTAATTGTGAGCAGAAACGTACAATGAAGCGGTCGTTATTATAATAAAGAGAGTAGTTTTGTAGGCTTCCAGCTTGTTTCGAAAGGCCTCTCCCTCGGCCTCACGAGAAATCCAATTGACGCGCTTTCCCCATCGCGTGAGTACGCTCTCGGCAGCGTTGCCAACGGTCTCTGAGATGGCGGTTTGCAAAAGGATAAAATCCTTCATAATGGAATCCAAAACATTGGCGAGGTGATCCTTCGGAAATCTGGGGTGGTTGGAAAGATCGTTTTGGCTGACGGCTGTTTCAATGTTCGCGAGAGCCTCACATAGCGCTCCGAGCTCGCTACTAAGCGATCTGATATCCGAGGGAGCCGATCGCGCCCGGGGGATTGCATCACAGAGGAACTTGGCTATCTGTGAGGAGATAGTCAGAAGGCCAGCTACGGAGGCCGCAAGGGAGAGAGGGTCGGCCATTAGGAGCTAGATAAGAGTTAGAAGGGGAAAGGGAAACATTCATCCTTTGATGACATGTGGCAGTATTGACCCAGCCCGCACAGAGCTATCCCTTGGACGAATGAGACATTGCGTGTTCTATACAGGAAGTGATTGACTGAACTTAAGGCAGCATCCTGCGAAATATATGGCATACCAGCGTAATATAAAGACTGCCTAACACAGCAAGCTGTTTACCCGGACGTTTTCTCGCCAAAATATAGAGATCACATGATATATAAGTATGAGAGAGATTTTGCAGTGTCTCATTCGTACAGGGGATAAGCTAAATCGTGATTGGTCCACCTCTGGCTAGACATATTTGATTACTCATCAAGCAGTGGCTTTCAGCCTTAAAACTAAAGGTGATGGATGACGAGTGTAGCCCATGTATCTGGTTGTGGTTGATGTGGTTACGGTTACCGGGGATGAGCGAAAGTGGAATATATATATATAACCAGCCAGATTTCGAGAAGAAGCGTTATCGAGATCACCCACCATCACTCGGGCCCTATCTAGTACCGAGTGATATATCATGACATGTTCAACCCCCGACGTATACATTTATTCCCTCGAAAATGTCGGGCGATCATATCCAGAGTTGTATAATGTAGAGATAGACCCATACCGAGTAATTGCAAAGCAAGTCTTGACTTTGCACGGCACTAGGTCCGTGACGACAAATAAAACCGGCAGAGCAACAATTGCCCAAAGTGACAATTTGCAGAGAATTACTATGTACAGCAGGTTTTGATACTTATTGTCGCTTTTCTCGTCATAGAGTACTACCTTAACGCCCGCATGGGTGTTTTTTCAAGCCTTATTTTAGGCTTATATAAGCATGATATTTGCCTTTTTTGACGATTTTCTCTTATTTCTTTTTAAGGTCCTTATTAGACTATGGTTTTGATAATCTTAAAATATTTTAAGGCTTATCGGGCTTGATCAGTCTTATTTAAGGTATTTGTGAAAAGTAAGGCTGAATAATGTTTATTCGTGAGATCAGCATGATAGCCTGATAGGTATGCTTTTACACTTATTCGCCATAGTGAATTTCGGAAATGAAGTTTTTATTAATACTGAATTTAATATGTACATTGATTTAAGACAATCTATTTAACCCGCCTACCTGCCTACCAGCCTATCGACCTATTAATTTCGCTCAATTGGGTGGATTTGGTGCTCGATTCGCTGCTGCTGCTGCTGCTCGATTCGCTGCTGCTGCTGCTGCTGCTGCTGCTGCTCGATTCGCTGCTGCTGCTGCTGCTGCTGCTGCTGGATTCGCTGCTGCTGGATTCGCTGATTAGCTCATGTTTTGGTATTAATTTTGACGATTGGGAGATGGGGGGGGGGGGGATGGTTAGGAGAGTAGAGGGGACGGAGGTGATAGAGAGGTAGAGGGGAGGGTAATAAAGAACAGATGGAAGAACACGGTTTAATATTTGCTAAGTGCCTAACCCTAACCCAGCCTTAGCACCCGTAAATGCCTATAATCCTGACGAATTTTACTAATTCTTATTTATTCGATAAATCTAATACCAGAAGGGGTCTTAGAAGAGCTTGATTTAGAGATAATGCTGAGCAAAATGTCATACTTTCGCCCAAAACAGGCTTATTTTTTGCTTTTTTGAGACACATGCCTTATTTAAGGCTTTCTACGTCTTAGAGCTCAAAGTAAGGCTTATTTTTTTACCCATTCGGGCGGTAATGTACTTACTGGTTGGTGATGATGGCTATCTAAATGAAGGATTCCGGAAGTGTATCGGAGCATATATGAGGACATCACTGCTCGGTCTGGAACACGAGGCACTCCACACCACGGCTTAAAATGTGTATCGATTTGTAACCCCAAATAAGCCAATATCTGCTAATTCACATTTTCTCGTTCCCCTTGTCATCACTTGCACGCTTACTCCTGCTTCTTCATATCCTCGGGCTTTGGCGAAGGCGGATCAAAACAAGGGTTCTTCTTGAGCCACTGCCTTATCGCATCAATTTTAGGGTCCTCCTTCGTCCACGACCCACCATCCTTATCCTGCAATTTGAGGTTGTCTAAAATGACCGCTTCAGTGACGGCATCGTGTTCCTACATATCCAGCTGATTAGTCTATGCACAGTGGAGGGGATGTGTATGTATGGATGGAAACGTACCTTGAGGAAGCGCGCGTCAAGCTCGTCCATCTTCGTCTTCATGGTTGCGTCCTTGATCTCTTTGGCCATGGCTTTGCTGTCCACGAGGGGCTGCAGGGTCGTCTCGAGGTTGATTATGCTGTTGAGGTCGTCCGTGCAGGCCACTGCAGCGTTGACGAGCATCTGGATCTTCTTGGTCGCGAAACGGCGGGGGACAAGGTCGTTGATGTATCTGCGCTCAATTTACACCCATCAGCACTCATATTGCAGTCCTCCGGCGAGATTGATCGCAGATGGATATGGACGGAGTGGTGCAGGAGCGCGGTAGACCCATACTTTTGGAGCTCCACCATATGCTCATGCCCCTTCACGCCCTCATAGATCAGCATCCCAATCTCAATGAGAGCGGTGAGGGCCAGCGTCGCCAACGTTCCAATCTTGAACAGGGATAACCCACCCTCCACGGCCGCAACCTCAACGCCGTCCGCGGCGGCAGTGGCAGCCTCGACCGCTGCCGCACCGGCTTCGACTGCCGTTTCGGTGCCTGCTACGGCGGCCTCGGTCCCAGCTTCCACGCCGACCTCGGCCGCGGCTGCCACTCCGCGGATGGTTGCAACTGCGGCAGAAATCAATCTCATGCCGGCATTGACTGCGCCTGTTTTGTTTTTGTTATGGTTGGTTAGTATATCGGGTTCGAGAGGTGGTGGTAGTGGTTAAGGTGGAGTTGGGGGGTGGGGGGATAGTTACCCTCAACAAGCATGGAGATGCCCTCCGCAAGAAACTTGTACGCGTTGATAAAGTACCTCTTGATGAGAAACTTGATGAACATACCGACTGTGGATCACTGCGCGTCAGCCTTGGAGCACCCTCATCAATAGAATCCACACAAAGACGCACATCCGACCGACCCCGTAATGATCAGCACCGAGCGGTTGATCCTCTCCACCGTATCTTTCGGCACACTCGCGGAGATGAGCTTCGCCGAGATCGAGGTTAGCTTGTCGCGTTGCTCCTTCGTCAGCAGCTTTTCGGCGGCCTCGTTGTAGTCTTTGATTGACGGGTAGCCCTTGTCGTGGGCGTACTTCTCGAGGCGGGTGAGGGTGCGGGCGTCGCTGGTTTTCATGCGGTCGTGCGACTCTTTGATGGAGGTCTGGAAGTAGGCGATGTTGTTGGCGAGGTCCTTGACGCGGGCGGCGCGGTTGCCATTGTCTGTGGGGGGAGGAGGGGGTGTGTGTCAGTGGGGGACTTGTGGAAGAGCTGAGAATTGGGGTTTAGAGAGGGAGGGGGAGGGAGAGATGGTACATACCAGGGTAGAAGACCATTGTTGGGGTGAGGTGCTGAAAGTTAGAGTTGTTTAAAAGTTTGTAAGAGCAGGGCGATGGAATAGAGGGGGAGGAGGAGGAGGAGGATGCTTGCTAGTTTGTTTGGAGTTGCTGCGTGCTGGTGTGAGGATATTTATGCTCCGCGTCGAGCACATACTTATAATTATGTATGTAGTTGCAAAAGACGTCTCTCTTGGTCACCCTACACTGGCCGCCAACAAGACCAGCACAGAAGAAGGAGCTCCTTCACCCATCTGGAAACTTGGTCCACTGTGGTCCCCAGAGACCGCGATGTCCCAGCTGAGCCTGTAACGCTCTGTCCCTAACACTCGTCGTTGTACATGTCTCTGTTCAGCTGAGATGAAGTTTTGTGTGAGCTGTTGATCTTCACAATTGATACACGACGGCGCACTCAATCCGTCGCTCCTCAATGCGCTCAATGCTTTCAGGCTAGACCATCATCGCTTCTGGAAGGGCTAGGCTTCAAGAACCGCCTATTACAGATAGCAAATTGGTTTCTTCTGTCGGCGACCAACAAACATGAAAGACGTCCGAGACAATATACAGCGGATTAATGCAAGATTGAGAGCATTCAGACGAGTCGCGGGACCGTGCAATGATGAAGATGGCTAGTCTCTCGAAAGGTTCAGCTGCGATACGTATACGCCGGTGCCTACGACGTCACTGCCGACGATCGGTAGTTCAGCTGGATATAGCGCTTTAGATCATGTCGACTTAAGCTTTCCAGCTGAAAGCCTCTTTCCCTGGGGAAGGATCGACGTTGCACATATTGTATGTAGAGTACTCTAGGTACATGAGCTGCGGGGTCGAGAGGGGTCGAGTGGGGGTTAAGTGGGATCGAGTGGGATCGAGTGGGATCGAGTGGGATCGAGCACAGGGGTCGAGTGGAGGGGGGTTGGGGGGTTAACTACATATGGCGCCAGTCGACGTTAACATAAGTACCTTTGCGGCCATTCAAAGGGTCAACCCTAACCCTTGATTTTCTCAATCCTCGCCCAACCTAATCCTGGAATTCTACTTCATTTTGGGATTGGCCATGAAAAGTAAAGAGAGACAGACAATGGATAGGTGATCCCTACACGTAGCTTTATAATTAGCTCTTCTATGTGTTAGACCTTTTATCAAGAGTTTATTTTCGTGACCGGCGCCGTACATTCACACATACATATGCAACAGCTTTGCTTTTCCCAGGTTCAGCTTGGCCTGCTCGGGTAGGTACAGACACACAGACATGTAGGTACTCTATATGTCTCGGGTTGTAAGAGCACATAGAGCACCTACTCTAGGTACCTACTCTACGTGACGAAAAAAGCTCATCCCCGGGATTTGCCTGTACTCGTAAATTCATGGCGACTGCTATTGCATACCATATGAAAAAGCGCCAAATCAACCTTTTTGTATGTCATGCAATATTTGTGTTCGGAAATGCTACGACTTCCTTCGTCGGTCGGTCGGCCCCTGGTCTGTGTCGCCTCGCTAAAATAAGAATACCTGCACGTATTAAGATCGCCGGAGCCAGATCAGAGATCGAATTAACGCACATGTGATGGATGATGCAGTGCAACCATGGAACGTAGATACCTCGGCACCCATTTCGGCCTGTCCAGCCAGCTGAGGTTTAGCTGCCAAACGTCGATTGTGAGGAGCTCCAATAGAGTACGTGTGCTGCAGCTGGCCATGCATATATATATTTGTTTTCTGAATATATTTCATCAACGCCAACACCCCAACCCCATGGCTCTACTCTACCGTTGATCTCTGCAAACCACTCGAAAAAGGTGGATGAGTGCTTTTTTTTCTTTGGCGCCGTCTGCAGCCTACGGCGGCTCATATATACAAAAGTACAATCCGTGATTTTGGCGAGGGTGCGCGACCAAGCAACGGCACAACCAAGCAACGGCGCACGCCCAACCCCAACTTTTGACAGCATATCGCAGGCCCCCAACCTAATTAGACAGGTTTTTTAATTATATAGTCCAAATATTTCGAAGTGAATAAAGAATATGTGACTAACATGAAGTGTTCTTGTGCCCTGTAGAAAGAGTTATTGCTTGGTGCGGGAGCTATACTTTTGTGGGGTGAGGATGATTTTGGCGAGGGCGCGCAACCATGAGGGCACGCAATCATGAGGGCGCGCAACCATGAGGTCGCGAAACCTCATGAGCCAACTTTGAACATGACATCGCAGGCCTGCAACTCAATTTAGACGGGTGTTTGAATTATAAAGTCCTAATATTTCGGGTGAATAAAGAATATGTGGCTAATATTAAGTGTTTCTGTGCTCTGTAGAAAAAATTATTAAGTGTAGTTTAGGACATGCTGTACTAGCTAGAGCTGTACTCGCTCTCCTGCTACCTTTACCTCAACACAACTGCTACCGCCCTACCTATATCAACCCTCTGTTACTACTCCCGAAGGCTCACCTCTTTCCTGTAACAGTGTATTATCTTTATCCTTACCGTGATCAGATAATGGCAGTGAGGATATTAGTCGAGGTGGTGAACTGAGAATGGAAGAGCAAGGGTGCTACGGGCCGACTCGGGAAAACTCGAACGAGGTTCAGGGGTTCTCGGTAAGAGAACCGTAGAAAGTGAGTCCGGGTTACATAGGTGACAACTCTTCACCTTGTGCGGAGTCAGGGTCAGAGTTTGGGGTTATTGGACTTGATACCGATAGATACTAGACTAAGTTGTCTAACGATAGATTATCGAAAGAAACGAACGAGAACGGGATCAAACGCTTCATGTTACGTGAAGCGAGAGCGAGACTAGGACTGGAACCAAAGGGCACAACTGAGAAGTTATACGACTTGTATTCGTAGAGGTTCAAAGATAGAAAATAGACTGTATTCCTATATAACAGGAAGTTCAGATAAGGAGAAAAGAAAGAAAGTACAGAGGGAAATTACAGCCATATATATATCCCTCAGAACCCAATAACTAATTTGCGTAACGGAAATCTATAGAAAGAAAGTTCAAATACTACCGAAATCCTAAAAGAGACAGAATAAATGAAATCCCGATTACTAATCGCTCTCCTTCCCGAACTTCTTCCTTACTCGCGCTACGACACTATAAAGGATTTGATGTTATCTCTAAATCTGGAAGCTTTAGTAATTCAATAAATTCATATCTGTGTCTTTTACTATCGCTTCATTTCAGTGAGCTGGAATCGAGGATTCTTTTTAGTGTTCGGGTGAGAAGTGTTGGGGTATTAGAGTATTCCGGAAAGTCAGACACGGGTTGCTGTATATCGTTAGATTTAGAGAAATTTATATCAGGAGTAGTACATACCTCTCTACTCATAATCTCTTCCTTTATAACCTCAATATCATCAGGAGCTGAGTTTACCCGCAATGCCTCTAGAAACTACCCATTCTTAATTTTTTCTTCTTTAATTCTCTTCCTTCTCTGTATCTCAGTCTGAAACTTAACAACTATAAAAATCTTAGTCGATGATCCTCTCAAGGGGGTGAGTAGCGAGTATTCCGCAGGGTACGAAGAGTGTAGTAGGGGGCGGTATGGGAACTCGCAATAGGGGTCCCAAGGATTTCTAGCGTTGGTAAGGGTCAACGGGATAAGGAGAAAGCGAGGCAGAGGTCTTCTTGAATAAAGAAGAGGATGAGGATTTTGTATAGCAATAGACAGCGTAGATTTCATGGATCGATTAGTGGATATACGGGGTTGCGAAAGGTCGGATTAGTCAGAAAGGTTCTATTGGGTTCTACCGGGTTCTGTTGGTTGTTGATGTATGAGTCAGGTTGGATTTGTCATCGTTGGGATTTCCTTGAGTATATTAAGGGGGGTTGTTTGTACTTCTCGTTCTTTTCTTCTTCTTCTTTCCTTACGCAACGTCTTCTGTATCTACGCTGTTTATTGCTATACAATATTATTGTTCTCTTCTTTCTTTAAAAGAAGACCACCGCCTCGCTTCCTCCTTATCCCATCGAACCTTATCAACGCTCGAGTCCTGTAGTACCCCTATTGCGAGTTCCCATACCGCCCCTGCTATACTCTTCGTACCCTGCGGAATACTCGCTACTCGCCCCCTTGAGAGTAGATACAGAAGACGTTGCGTAAAGAAAGAAGAAGAAGAAAAGAACGAGAAGTACAAACAACCCCCCTTAATATACTCAAGGAAGTACTAGTGATGACAAATCCAACATGACTCATACATTAATAACCAACAGAACCCGGTAGAACCCAATAGAACCTTTCTGACTAATCCGACTCTTCGTAACCCCGTATATCCACTAGTCGATCCATGAAAGATACTCCTGCGAAATCCAAAAGGAATTCAACAACTGAAATTGACTTATTCTTGACCTCTACCTGGTGGGCACTCTCCTTTAGTGTAAATTGTGTTGCCAGTATTATTTGATATACTTCACAATAATCAGCAGTAATACTTATCACACAATTTGAGGCAGAATTGAGTAGCATATTTGTAAATTCAAAATAATTCGTATTATTCTGGTCCAAATTTTCAAAAACCTTCGATGATACCCCTATAGAATATTAGAAATTATTAGGATTTGAAAGGAATTTAGAGACCTACTGAAATTCTTGTAAGTACTCCAGTTGTCATCCATTTTGCCAACATAGATACCAAGCTTCCGAGAGTCATGAGCTGAAATCATTTTTTTGATATCCTTAGTATTACTCAGTGCTATTGCTGGAACCAACCCATATGTAGAAGCTTTTTGTTTTTCTGCTTTAGAGATTCTCAATATTGATACTTATCGATACAATTGAACAGTTTCTCTCACATTCAATTGATATGCTTCCATAGCAACATCCTTAGTTGATGAGTTGGTAGGACTCGATAGTAACACAATAGTTTCTGGAGGTCAAGCTTCACCCTTTTCTTTGTCTTTTTTGCTCTTATTACGAGTTGTTGATAACTCTCTTGAGCTGCTTGCAATCTCTTTTTTGTTTTCAATTTCTTTCAAAAGTAGATTGAGGGGGGGGGGGCGGGAT